AAAGATGAGACACTGTGTGTTGTGCAAATGTAGTTTCTGGATGTTTACTGCTCTTTCTTGAGACAATCATTCCCATATACCATTCAGGGAATTGTGTTTTAAGCTCTTGACCTCGTGCATTTGTACTGAAACTAACTCCAAACTCTAGACAATATAGGTGAGTCGATTGTTCGCATCCTTTGTGCATTTTTATTCTTTGGGCCTTATCAAAGTTTTTCGTTATTTGTGTTTGACCATGACTATGTATGCATAGATGAATGCGTGGGGTGAGAGAATTATTGAATCAGATTTGTTACTGAATAAAGAATGTAAAAGAACACGTCTGAAATGACCAAACAGACACAGCAAACGCACTATAGAACAGTAGAAGGTTCATATTGAAAAAAACACAAGTATTTTAATTATGCTTGTGATTGAATTGTGAAAATTTGAACCCTAAATTTGATATTTTTCAGTAACACCTTTTCACCAATGAGTCTGCCTTTGCAGCTCATTTCATGGACTTGAAACTTCAGGCTTCACCTTTTGAGATACATATCATTTGAAACCAAATACGCATGTTTGAAATTGTGATAAATTCATTTTGGTATGACATTTTCAATATTTTCTCTAGAAATGGCAAACCATCCTTTAGCAATCAAAGCTTTATACATCTGCTTTTGGATCTAGCATCTTGGACCATATTTCTTCCATCGTTTGGATACGACATCGTACTTACTCCAAATATATATTCAAATACCTGCTTCGTCAAGTGCAATCTAAGCTCAGAATGTTGTCAAGGTGTATTTCAGATAAATGCCCCAGATATGTGCCTGTCGGACGAGTATTCTAGTCATAGTTTTATTCCAGTATTCTAGTGATATACCGTTTGGATGTTCACTGGTTTATATCCTTTGCTTCTAATTATTTTCTTACATCCTCGCATAACAGACACATGTGCTTCTTTACTGACCCAATCAATTTGAACCTAATCTAAAGCATTTTTCCCAAATTGAGGAAAGCTTTCTGATTAATTTTTTGGCGTGCAGTGAAGACGATGTGGTAGCAAAAGTGGCAGAAAGTATCCAGTAGATCTCTTGCCAAAGACAAGCACGTTCCTTTGCCAATTTTCACAATGAAAACAGCCATAGAAACCAATATCTGAATGAACATGTGTTATTGGGAAAGGCACGGTTTGATCTTCAAACCAAAAAAATGATTGGAATTTTATGTTCACTGGGAAACAGCGGCTAATTCTCATCCATGAGTGGGCTGTGTTGGGTCACTGTATATTTCATTTCAATTCTTTATCAAAGTTAAATTAGAATTTACTGACAATTAAGCCTTTTCTACGTAACTTCTAGGGTTAACTAGCAAGATACTAGGTCTGAACGAGACGTATGGTACACGATAAAAGATAGATGTAGGTAATCTGTCTTGCTGCACCAACTCAGAAATAGTAGAATGGCATCCCACTTTGTTAGGGATTTCGTACACTCATTTAGTTCTGATATCTATCTTTATACTGCAATTATGCCCCTTTCTTTAAATTGATCAGCCCTTCAGTGGTTGACAACTCATTGACGATTGAGACGTACTTTTTTAGTGGACATTCAGGGAAAACAATTTGAGCCATTAGAGGGTCCTGTGCAAGTTACGGGCTACGTTATGATGAATTCACACCCTTTACAGGGGGGCATTAAAATGAGGTCATCCACGACAAAAGAATAAGTAATAAGGTATAATTAATGACAAGCCTTGTTACAGTAATGGCTTCTTACGAGTTTAGCCGTACTATTAGAGATGATAACAACAAAATTTATCGCTGGTTGTAGTTCGTAACATTAATACGATAAGTTATGAATGCAATTTAAAAGAATGAGTGAGTGAGTGAATGAATGAATGAATGAATTAACGAGTGAATGAATAAATGAATGAATGAATGCATAAAGGAATGAATGAATGACGTATTTACGTTGGCTTTGAAACACTTTTTTGTGCATTCAGTAGCCTCAATTCTCTTTGTTGTGTTGATACAAAACAGCTTTGTCACTTAGGAAAAGAGACGAGCAAGAAAGACTAAGGCCTAGAGATATATTCGATTTCGAACTCATCTTAGTGTGAATCTCCATTCACAATTGTTTCATTGAATAATCAGTTCTTTGTTTATTTATTTCATCTTACTTTGATACACATGCTCGAATATATTTGTAAAATGTAAGTTTTGTGATGAACTTCTTTGTATACAAATAAGATTCAATGAGCATTTGTTTACAATTGTATAAAGATTTGTAAGTTTATAGACTTGGACATAACCAGGATTTTACGAATCAATCTGAAATCTTATGTCTTCTGGTCAATGATTCATTCTCTTCGATTCAACATGTATTTTATCACTTGCTCTATTCTGAACTCACAACAAGAGATGAACTCAGCGAAGGAGTTCATCAAGATATAATCATACTTATCAATGATAAAAGAGAAAGGTGACCATTTACAAAAATGGGCTTTGCATTGTAAAAATACATAGCCTACTTATGATATAACATCCCTGTTTAATGGAAAGTTCCCTGTGAATTGCCTAGGTACTCAAGATCACCTAGTGGCTTATAAGGACCAGAGTTGAGCCAATTCTTGGCAACATGTTAGGAAGCTTACTAGCATACTAGCATGGTCAAAACAAAATATACAACCTAAACTCTGCTAGAAATTCAATTAGTTAAAGACGAAAAGACTTTTTATTGTTGACTATGAGATGAACATTGTACAAACAGTTGACATTTTTAATGAAACTTAAAGCCTTTAAGGAAAATCGCCTTTTCATGATATTTGTGAATATATTAATCACGTAACTAAAACCTTAACGAGCAAATGTGTCTGTGGTGTATTCCTTGGTAAAATGATTTAAATAGGCGTCGATCTTTTAGCAAAAGGAAAGAATGGCTGAGGTTAGATAAAGTTAGATGTGCTGAGAGAAACCCGACATCTTGGAAGAAGTAATCTAAATTAGATCCAGCAAATGGTTATATACTGCTATCTATTATTAGGCCATTTGACCGCATTAGCCAGTAGCAAATACCGTGTATTTCCCAATTTATTTCTCAAATGTGTCTAAGGAAACAAGATAATTGCTAAAATTCTTACAAATACAGTTCAAAGGATAGTTATACAGCTTCAATATTTCAAACTTTACTTAAGGATCATCGAGGTATGACTAGGCCGAATGCCAGACGTTCTTTACCAGGGATATATTGTGTTCAATGGGAACGGGTTTATGTTTCACTTAGGCCGACACATCTATCTTTTGGGCGTTTCGGCTGCCAAGGACTCTAAAGAAAAGCTAAGGGGCGTAACCAAAATGTAGTACAAGAGGGTGCAGCACCACCAAGGTTTGTCGGCAAATACAAAAGTGTCTAGATTATGTGTTTTTCATCTATTTTTTCGATGTTTTAAACTTCGAAGATATATAGATAGTGAAAGCAGTTGCAGTTCGGCAGTGAAGCCACGTTGTATTGTTGTCACACCTTTGGAACGCCTTAATGTCGGCAAATTTGGGGATCTGCACAGCCCCCCCCCCCCTCCAACAATTTTCTTTACCTTAACCCCAACAAACGTTAGATATGGCTGCAGGAATTACTCAACTGTGCGCTTATGTATTCCAGACATAGTGACTGTGCTAACAGGGATACTCATTAGAAGTATGCTAGACCCAGTGCTAAACGAGTGAGCTTTTGAATGCAGTCTTTCTCTAAGTGGCTATATAAGAGATTCTTTATACGTTTTTAATATGATTTAACCACCTCAATAATTTTGTCCTGGCACAGTCAGCTCTCTTGGTAATTTTTGTGACTTTAATTAGGATCTTGATGCTTACGAATCCAGATACCAGCCTTGTCAAAATTCACAACTGCTATTCGTGGCAGCTTATTTTAAATTTCAGTGTATATTAGTTTATTAGTAAATGTATATTAGTTTTACTCGAGAGAGGCATAAGAAACCTGAAACCAAGAAACAACCATTTACCTTCGCCCTCAAAAATAAGTACGTCACGTCCCATTTCGTAAACAATTTTTTGTGAAAATTTGTTTCAACAATTTTGAAATTGTTGTTCAACAGTTCAACACTTTCTTCTCGAATGTGGAAGTCTCCTGTTTTTTCTGTATTTCAGTAATTTTATACGTAGTTAAAGTTAGTAATACGCAATACGAAACATGTAAACTCTTTCCTGGGACATGATATTTGCTGATGATTCAAAAGCAAAGGAATAGCAATAATATACTAAAAATACCACTTAATCTAAACTGGATCATCAGATTGGATTACCAATCGTAAAAGAGTCCAGCAAGCCCTTAGCCAGCCCTGTGAACTAAAAACTCCAGACCTGTTACAGGCAGACGTTTCAGCAACTTTTCAAGTTTTTTCTTAGCAGCGAAAGTTTTTTGAGCGCCAGGCACCATCTTAAGTCCTATATGGATAATAAGAGACCTCAATAAGCGATTTTTCTTTCACCAGTATTAGCTTGACTCAAATTGTGTCAAATCCAATCAAATCCAATCAAACAGATTAAAACCCCATTAAAAAATTTGAGACAAAATTCTCGGGGTGGCAATGCCTTGCCTACGGGCCTGGAGTCGAGCACTGGTTGGGTGCGAAAATTTAGGGATGAATTGTGGTGGCTAGAAACGAGTTCGAAAAAGTCACACAATGCTGTGGGTATTTAATTCCTGCATTGTGCACTTAATTTCATCAAGTGGCTTTGCTACAAAATTCTGAATTGCAGACTATTTGTCTTCAAGAATGCTACTTATGTAGAAGCCTTCCTCGCATTATATAGTAAATAATTAGTCAAGCCACATATTGATCGGTAGAATTCGGTAAATGTTCGTGACAGAGGCACCTTCATGGGATGGATTGGGATAAAAAGAACTTACTTTTGGTTTATATACGGTATATGACGTTTTCAATAAAAACATTTCACACTCAATCACATATCACAGTTGAATTTCTTATTAAATGCTTACTTGGTATCCTCATAACAACAAAACAACGAGCTCTCACATCATGGAATCTTCTCTGTAGACCAAACTTCTCACCATTGACATGAAACTGAAGTAAAAAATTTAGAAAAAAGGGGTTTGAAGTATTTCAGCTCTTTTAACAGCAAATTTTTTTAGAAAAAAGCATGGGCTCCGACACAGATTGGAAAGTGAGAGGAGGGATTTAGCAAACCTAACAAAGGATTTTGACGGAGATTCAATTGTTTTGCAAAAACCGGGGGCCATGACCCCCTGCCACCCCTTCGTCGGAGGCCCTGCAAAGATTAGAATGTGTTTGAATACTTTCTATAGATTATGGAAAGGATCTTTTGTATCGTGTAGATAATCCAATGTTAGTTAGTTTTATAATTATGAGCTAAGCAAGTAAATCTTTCAACGAGTATGAATAGGCTAGGCTTGTAGTAGGTAAAACATACCCAATCAGGGCGACGCCAGAAATTTAGGCCGTCAAGACGACTAAGAAGTATCGCAGCCTTTTCAAGAAACTTTGTAAAACAAATTACCTGATCTTTTGAAATATATATCTGAAGAGCCTGAAGGATTTTGTCAGTGCTAAGTTTTATGTCTAAGTCTACGCAAAATAGAAAAATTTTAATTTGTATCTAGGTATACTCAATCAGGGCGACGTGACCCTAATGTCAGACGATTTTTTTTGCTCAATTGAGATTTTGAAACCCCTGTACTTAAACTACTTCGAAGAAAAACCTGTTTTTAAAAGAACCACGCTGTTCTTGTATTTTATTCTAAAGATGCAAATAGGAGATGCAGACAAATGTTTCTTAAAATTTGTTCTTATCAAAAAAAGCTTTTTGTCTTTTGAAAATAGATGGTTCAGGTCACAGTGACAATTTCACGATTTGTCAGGCATTTTGTACACCGACAAAAATGATGACAACTGCATCTATTATGTTTTCAATACATTATCCTATGTTAAATTCACAAATATTTTTGCTTTTGTGTTATTAACGCGTCAGATTTCGCTCGAGAAACCTATTTGCGCGGAATGTTTTCGCCCTGTTTTATTTTCGAGCACTTAGGTCTTGCGTGAAGACAATATTGTTAAAATGTTTTCGTTGCCTTTCAGTGCATAATGAAACGACTCATTTTCTGTTAGCAACTCGTGGCAGGAAATGAGTCCTTAGGTTTTGCAAAATATCTGAAATTTGGTAATAGAATTTCAAAATACAACAAAATGTTTAGAAATGCAACATAATATAAGTTTTGTTAACAAGTTCTACTTAACGAGTCAAACCATAAACAAGCATGACCAAAAGCAAAACTAAATTTTTTATGCAGGATCTTCTTCTTAGAAATCATCGTTCATTGAACCGCTCATTCAAATTATTCCCGTAACTAAAGGACAATGAGAAATCGAAAGCAAAATTATTATTATACAACGCTTGCTTCCGTTGTTACTGAAAACTGGCCCGAAAGACTATGTCCGGAAAAAACGAAATTTGAAAACGCTTCTCTACGTTGGAGATTTTCTAATTTATTATACTGAATTTTCCCTCTCTTTTTGAATTTTACTTTCCTAACTGATTTATTAGATGCCTCACAATATTTATTCTGAACGAACAATGTTTGCTATTTAATGAAAAAAAAAATTTGGGAACAAAAAGGAAAAATGAGGAACATTTAGAAAAACCACAAAGATAAGAGGCCCTCGTGCAACCAAAAGTCAACCACTTGCCTGTTATGTTTGAAAAACGAACACATTCTTATGACAATAAATACGTAAATAACATCTTAATATTGTTGAATACTATATATAAAGTGCTAGAATTCCATGTTAATGTTGGGTTACTTAGACAGTGCACGAGAATAATGCTTGCTTTGCGATGTTCAAAACAGAGAATTGCAAAACTGAGATATCTCGTTTTTCCAAAAGGGTGGTTTATTCAAGAGCGGGTGAAATCCCCTGATACTAAATTAGATTTGAATAAGCTAAGGATGCTTTGAGAACATCTTCAGGCTCAAAATTAAAATTCCTTAAGAATATCCGGGCGTGGAAAAATTATAGTTTTCTTGTATAAAAGATTCACACATATCAAAGATGAATGAAGAGTCCAAACTAGGCGCCTAGAAATTAATTTGGTCTTTTTCTAGGAACTCGAAAACCTAAAATAGGCCAATTATCTAACTCGAAAAATATCACTTACATGTGAATAGTGAATCGACTTAAATGTTGTCAATTAGAAGGTAACTTCATTGATGGGAGAAATCTTTCTATCCCATGCCTCGCCTTGCTTAGTTTCAGTTTAAGCTGACGCAAGATATTTGGCTATGATTTCGGCGCGAAAAGTCGCGTCACGTGACTTTCGATCTACGATTTCTTTCAAGTGTGGTTATGTAAACTCGCTCGAATCCAAGCGATTGGAAAAAGATAAATCATTTAAAGGAAAAAGTTGCTTGAGGCAACAGTTTCTCAACAGAACAAAATTAGACTAGATAGAGATACATTTTGGAAGTAGCCTAACTATAAATAATTCACTTTACATGAAACTAGCATTAATTCACCACTGACCAAGACTTTTAAAAAGTGCATTAGACTGTGTGATCTCTTCAAAAGTGTAGGTGAACAGCTTATAGGGTAATAAAAGACACACCCAGCTTCATAAAATTGAGCGGCAGGTCGATTAAGTGAAGTTGTTAAAATGTTAATCGTTAAAATGAAACTTATTACTATACAAGCAAACTGTCCTCAAGAAAATAATTTTTGGTTGAACTCTTCCAACCGGGTCAAAGCAGTTGCAGATGCGTTGTTAGGGAACTCTCGACTCCTTCTGGACTTTCATTATCATCATATGAGCCCCAGATAATTATCGTTTTCATCACACTATCAACACGAGGCCTTTGCCTCTTCTTGTGTGGCACCATTCGCGTATAATTGCAACGACTGCCAAAATGCACGCCTTGAAAAAATTATCAGTAACAGAAGTGTAACATTTTGACCTTTGGTAAATTATGTCCCAACACTAAATCATTTATAGAGTACGACATTTGCAAAAATTGGTTTCAAACTCCACAATTTCCATAAAGCTCTTATTTCAAATAGAACAGACAATGTGACACAATTTACCCCTTTGCAGTTCACCACCCTCTCTTGTTGTGGAATTTACTCACGAATGACTCCCATAAATGTTTTAATGATACCGTAAATATATTCTCGTATGCAACAAATTTGAGAGGACACAAAAGCTTTTTATGCTTAGACCGGTTTTAGACTGGTTTCATTTACAGAATGACCTTACCATCAAAGAGAAACGACAGGTTTAGTTAAATAGCCTTCACGGGAAAATTTTCAACGTTACTGAATTCCAAAAGCTATAAAAAGACACAAAACAAGTCGTTGTGGAAACCTTTTACCAAGAATCCTCCGAGCTATCTCTGACTTCCGTGACCTCGTTCAATACTAGGCCATTACATATTACTGAATGGAGATCGACACGAAGTCTCAAATTTCATTGGTCTTCAGACATTTGCTGTGCTAATCAATAACCTATAAGTCATTTCCTCAAGTTCTGTTGTCCAGCAAGGCAAAAAAGGATTATACAAGCACACACAGATTTAGTACTGTGTCCATCTTATATGTGGCGTCACCGTATCACGGAGCAACATAACGTTTTTGACCCGTTATCAAGCATTTAAAATTTATCTCACTCTTAAGGATGATTTCCAGGAAGTAGGGTGTGTGCTACTGTAAAATACTGTCTTCTAAAGCCTCGATGACAATTGTTCAAAGTAACGAATGCTCGAGTTATTGGGGGTTCGAATGTATTGGGGAAGGTTGAAAGATAATGCTAAAATAATCCAATTCATCGGAGGCTCGAGTAATTTGTAATTAGCTTGTAATTTGCTAGTGAAGCAAATTACAAGGGGCTTCCGTTTCTGCTTCTTTTCAGAAAAATGCATAAACGAGATTTTAAAGAAAACCCACGTTTATATCTAGGAGCCACGTTCACCATTATCATCGTCCACATTATGTTTCCATTACCAACATGCACATGTAATGGGATGTCTATCTTAGGCATGATATATAGCACCTAAGACATGAAGAGACCTCTTTTATTTGATATTGCGTAATTTTCATAAAGAGTCCCTCGAATTCCACTTGCATATGGGGGAAAGGGGGAATTTCTGGCGATGTCTCTTTCTTGGTGAAAAAATAGAACTCTTGTGAAAAATACTTGAATGCAGAAATTTCAGTATTTATCAGGCAGGAAGATATGTCTAGAATAAAAAAAGAGATATGTCTAGTTTTATTATCTTGGTGAATGTTTTGCAGGCTCGTAGCTGCTGTTGTTCTTGGAGGAGCTCTTACCTATCGTCCGCAAGCAATGGTGCCCCCTCCCTCAATAATTTCACCCTTCCTATTTGCTGCCTTTCAATAATGATAGATGTCATTGGTTTACACATGCTTTGAAAGCTTGGCTTTCGCTTTTTGGCCATTAAATTTTAATTATTTCGTTCAAAAACCCGAGAAACGATTGTAAAGGTTAAAGCAATTGATACAAGGATTAAAAGAATTTAGAGATGATAAGACACGCTCTTAACATTGCTACTCTCCCTGACCAAATGGGCATAACTGCTTAATTGAAAAGATACTATTAAAACCAGAACCAGACAAGTGGTACTTGCAATCTGACTCCATTGCATGGATCCATTTCTAGAGTTTTTTATGTAGCAGAAGTCCCTATTCAGAACATAGAAAATTTTATTTTTAAACAAGTGTATTTTGTGGTCCAAGTATTAAGCTACAAATGATGCAATTTAAAATACCATTTTTTCTAAGATCTTGGTCGTTCATGTTATTTGTAGTCAAATGTGTCTCTCCTTCCACTTTTAATTTTTCTAACCTTGCCGATCTATAGTTGGAGTTTAAAAGAGGATCTGTAAAGTACCTGTGTTAACATATTACACGTACTCACCTTTGTAAAATGAAGTTGCAATCTCTTTGGAAATAAGTTTATTCAAGGTAGCCTAGAATAGATCCTGCTCGGAATGGAATAAAACTGTTGGAATGGAGTCCAAATACAATACACATCGCTTGATTAGAGAAGCTAATGAATCAGTCAATTTTAGAACATGATATGATACATAGTTTAATGCATTTAATACTATTTTGTAAGGAGTTGTAAAATCGTATAGCGTTTAACTACAACATGAATAAAGTAGACTTTCAAGTACGCTGAGACTCCAGTTTTATATTTTCTAGTGAAACATCCTTCACTTCATCTGTGGTTAGAAATTCAATGTAAGTTGTTGTGCATTTGTCTTATCAAGTCACGTAATTCTTGCAGTGAACATCATTACATGATCATCCAAAAAGTTTTTATAAGTCAATTTTTTCCAGATAAGTCTTTTTGCGTTGACCTATATCCAGTGGCCTAATGGGGTTACTTGGGGCCTTTGGGAAAAACCGAGACTGGACACTATTTACGGACTGCAAAAAGGACCCATCCACGTGATTACCACATTTCAAACACAACAGCACAGTGTGAAAATGATACTTATTCTCATTCACTAGGACGAAGCTGAACCATTTGCTTTAGTTAAAGAACTTTAACATCTTTTGAAAACAAGGTGAACTTGAGCGTAGTCTGAAAAAATATGAATATCTTGGGGACCTCCTTTTGATCGGTGCACCTTTGTTATCGAACTAAGGTTCCTTAAACTGCGCACATGGACCTAATAGATTCTGTGGATATTGCAGCAGCTTTGTAACATATATTCAGATTAAATATGATCGGATGCGAATTTTTCTTTCTTCAAAACTCAAGGCTTGGCTGTACAAAATAATCTTCTTGCAGAAAAGGGAGGGGGGGGGGACCGAAATGTTGTGAAGATTGATCGGAGGTTAGAGTCACGGATCACGGATCCAAGTATTTGAGGTTTGAGTCTCTGACATGACCAAACTTTTGTCCAAAGTGAAGGGAGTTGTCCACTCTCAGCAATTCTAGGCGTAGGAATCACGAGGTGTGGTCATATCGGGAGGAGGGACCAAGAGACTGCTCGATAAGCATAGACTCTCAGTGTCCTGAAAACTACCCTCGGCTGCTCTGTGGAAACACATACAAATAAAAAATCAAAATAGAGATATTTCGGAAAAATGAATAGAATCTGAGAGTTTAATACGTCAATTTTAAAGAATTAAATAGCATCAATTTGTTTTCGGATATATGATATTTTCAGAGTTTACTTTTCATTAGTTTTTAGGTGGGTTTTCTTTATTTTGGAATCCTGTGACAGACTCATCTATTTCATGAAAATTTGATACTTTTCGGGCGAGCGGCGATTCACTCTTGCAAATAGCGTACGAGATTTTGCCTAAAACAAAAGGATTTCTGGAGATTTTCAGATAAAATAATAGGATTTTCACAAAAGGTGTACGAGACTTTCTTAGAGTGATTTGCCCTTCGTTTTCGGGTGTGGAATGGTTACATTGCGATTCGCAGAATAAATAATAGCAAATAAATAAAAAAGTATTATTTGTGTCCAAGCAAATGATAAACAATGTCTCTTGAAAGGAATGTTTAGAGTTATGATTCTGAAAAGAACTATCCATACAAAATTTACATGAAACTCAGTTCACGTGAACTAAAGTTTGTGGACAATTATGCCACCCGCCATTATTGAATTTCCTAGAAACCTTTTAATGTGGTCTTCACATGAAGTAATAAGTATGACCTAGAAGCGGAGGCTGGATTGGAAGCAGTTTCAGTTTTGATTTCCAGAAAGATGGGGTCGATGGATATGGGTAATACCATGGAAGGGGAAATTGACGACTCTTTATACAGGTAAATTTACTTTAGTACAGTCTATTTTAACATTGTGTCAGATAACTAAAAAATGGCGAATGCTTGCAAATTCACGATACGCCATCAAGATGTTTGTTAGGCCCAAACATTTTCATGTCGGTTTAAGGAAATCTTTCCCTTTCTGTGAAGAAACACTTTAGACTTTTTACCAGCTAGTGGTAAGAAAATCAAAAATTTGTCTGAATATTCACAGTAGCAAGTTTTACTTAGTGAATACTTACATAATTGTGCAGCACTCTTGTGGAAAGAATTTTTCTTCTTTGTTGCCGTATGATAACACGTATATATATTTTTATTCTGTATAAATACAAAGACATACAATTTTTTGTATAAAAACCAGGGGCTTTGTTTTGACACAAGTAGGACTGGTGTATGTAGAAGTTTCCTCTGGCCTTTTCCATTGAAAAAAGGAACCTCAGCTAGCTGGGAAGTTTTTTTATTAATCTTACATATATGTACAACTTTCACTATCTTGCAAGGATAATTGGGCATAGCATATATATGTTTTGTAGCATGTTTTCTCACTGCCCGGCCTGCCAGGAAAACATTTTCTCAAACAGTAATTACAATTTTTGCAACAAAACTATATAGATTTATGTATCTTTAAGATACGATTTTAACAGAATGGGCTTTATTTCCACCATTTTATGCAGAGTAAATATCCTTCATTCATAAGAGAAGTCCCCAGACAACTGTTATGCTTGATTTTCCTGCACTTGTTGAAGCAAGTTTTATTCAAGCTGTATGTGTTGAAAGCCCAAGAAAAACTATTCTTGAGTGTTTTTATGCCATGTCCTGGCTGGGTTGGATGTTTCTCCTATGAATTGAAATTACTTTACATTAAAGAATCACAACATTTGGATAATTGAATTCAAAGTCCTGTCAGGCCAACAATGTTTGTTAAATGTTTGTAGATAATTGCAGAGAACGAAAGAATGTCTACATTTTCTCTTTTTTTAAAACATGCAAATGAAAGCAGTTGGGGTCATTGTTGGGGTCAAGACATTTCTTTTATTGGTCAAATAATCTGGACACGTTTCTATCACTTAATCATTTTGTCATATGTGTATGCTAAATTTTGTCTGAATATTGACGTCATTGGCCCCTCAAGAATTTTATTGTCATAGCAAAGTGTAGTTAAGTGCAAAGTTGAGATGAATATCCCTATATTAATATGATAGATGTCATGCATGTTAATTGAAGATTGATTATTTAATTTTCTAAATATTTCCCTATATAACTGAGAGATAAAAAGTGAGGGAGACAGGTCATTTAGAACATTTAGCTCTTAATCCAATAAGCTTTCAATGCTGTAAGTTCATTTATCTGCTTAACTAATCTGTTATAGTCGACAGCGATATGTTCTTGGAGATGATGCAATGAAGATGCTTTCCAAATCAAATGTATTCATTGCAGGAATGGGTGGAGTAGGAATAGAGATTGGTAATACTCAACACTATTTCCTCCTTCCTCTTTTTCAAAGTGTGACAAAAGATTGCCATATTTGATAAAGTTGTTTATTTTTGTTCAAACCCCTTAATTTTCAAATTTGGCACCTTGTTCAGGTGTAGCCTCTTTTCTTCAATAGTATGTTTCTGTTCTTTGCCAGGTTCTTTCAACAATGCTACCGAATTTTATAATTATATTTTCCATAGTTAAAAGCAAAACCTCCTCTTCCAGTAGATAAAAGTATTTGCAGCATTTTGCTTATCATTTTTATCAGCAGTTTGTATTTTTTCTTCTTCTAAATTTAATGAGAAAATATCTGTGGGGAGGTAATATTTTGTCAAAGATACTTTGTGGTGTGATTTTTTAGTTTTGAAACTGGCTCAGGGGCGGCTGGGAGAGATTTGAAACTGCTATTAGAAAAAATCGTGTCAGGGCGTGGCTACCGCTGTTTTTACTTCCAACCACACCCTCTTCAATGGTTGTTTTCAACATTGCACTGTTTTTTCTATGCTCTACCTCACGGTCTTATCTTGATTTTATTTGCCACAAGTTGAAGACGCCTTTTTAATGTTCTCCATCTCATAGTCATAAAGAGAAGAGCAAAAAGGGTGGGGGGGGCCACGGTCGGAGGTATGTTTGATCTCCAGTGCAACATGGCCCATTGTCAGACTTATCAGACTTATAATTTTAATTTTGATACTAATCCCAAAAAGATTGTAAAGTTGTAACACGTTTCTTAGTTCTAAATAGAATTCAGAGACATTTTTTCAAATTTTTACTGAAACGACTTACATTGGAGTACATATACAGTTCTGAAGTCGTGTCTATACACAAATTCAGTCTTTCAATTACGACTGTAGGCTTTGGCTTCGATGGCTTGCGGCATGCAGATAAATATCATCAGCTTAAAGTAAAAAAGGCCTTCTGTCCATAGCTGTAGCCCTTTTTTGTTGCTATTAACGGCCCTCTTTTAATAGCAAAATCATATCGGCAAGTATCGTACATTGAAATACTCCTTAATAAGGACAAATATTTCTAAAAAATGCTCATTGTTAACATACAAAACCAAAGCGCCATATTTTCAAATTCAATTTATGTGCAGATTTAAATTTTTGATGAAACTAACGTAAGAAGAGCTTGAGAATAAACTACATGTCGCTACGCCAAAAAATAAGAGAACCCTAGCTTTCATGTGTTTAAACGAAGTCGCTGTTGGTGTGTTTATTGTTGTTGTGAATAGAGGATTGTCTGTCAGTATGTCGTTAAAACACCCAACGTAAACTAGAAACGGCCATTTGATTTATTTTGAATGCAATATGCCACAGGAATGGAAGGGTGAACGGAGGAATCTTGCTATTAGAAGTGACCCGGCTAATAGCAAGTCTGCATATATTGGGTCTTTCACAACAGCATGATTGGCCAATTTACGACACAAGGAGACACAAACAAAGGTGGATATGAAAGTTGCTATTAGGATTCACAAACCTAATAGCAAAATTTCAGGGCTGTGGCTGTAGTATTAGTTTGAGGCCGTCCGATGAATGCGTCACAAGAAGTGTCGCGATAAGCATAGGAGGGAGGTCTTTTTTTGAAAGGATCAAATCAGTTTCAAGAGTAGCGGCTTCTGCTCGCTTCACCATGGCCATATCACGCCCTATCATTGCAAAATGGCAGGAAAACAGTTAGCTATCCAAGTAAACTGTTTTTGCCGAGGATTTTCCAGTGCTAGTTTCATTATAAGTTTCATTCAAGACATATGACCAGTAGATTATGGCAGCCTGTGCTGAAAAAATTTGCTATTAGACTAATAACGCTAATACCGCTCCCAGCCGCCCCTGAACTGGCTTTATAGATAGCTGTCATGAGTTTCCTGTTGGTAAATTTGGCATTCTCTATTGGTCAAATGGCATTTTCTCGCAATAAAAAAGGGCATGGCCTGTAATTTGAATTTTGTCCTCCCTCTCCCATAGCCTGATGGCTGGCACTGACACTTGCGCTCAATATTTGTCTTATATCATCACTTTTAACAGTGTCATGATCTCTTTGTTTATTTTGACATGTAAATTAGCAAGGTCATCCAAGGTTTAAATGAAATGAAGGTGTTTCAAATTTCAAAACTCATGCAGGGTTAATGCTTATCATTTTATTGCAGCAAAAAATGTTGTGTTATCTGGTGTAAAGGTATGTTAGAGGTTTTATTTCTGTGTAGCACTGCACAGGTGGAGATAAGTCCTTTTGCCTAAGTGAGCAACCAAGCATAACAGATAGGTCATGCACATTTGAAGCATGATAGATAGGTTCTACACTGTTCTATCTATAGCTTGAAGAGCAAATACTGTTTTTTCAAGCAAAGCTGGATATTCAGAAGTTATTGTACTTTGATAAAGATTTTTGATCAGTGCTTTCACAGTAACATATTTTGTATAGATATCCTAACAAATAAAGGTACATTTTCATTTTTATACATATACTATATCATGTCAAATATCAAATAGTATTATAAGGAAACTGAATTATAGAGTGTTCTTATAAAGAAGTCAATACTATGTATGCATAACTTTTAAACAAACTTTTCCATTCTTTTCAGTCTCTTACCATTCTTGATCAGAAAATTGCCTGCTCAAAGGATCTTGGTGTTCAGTTTTTTTTAAGGGAACAGGATGTCAGAAATGGAAAAAACAGGTATTTATTTAGCCTTTTGAGAATGAAACTTCTTCTCTTGTTCATAAGAATAATTTGGACTCATGCATCTCAAGCAATTTGAGGAAGGGTTTCTTTTGATGAGAATATGATTATTCAATTTTTTTTAACATTTTTAATTTTTCACCTTAGAATTGCTTTGTAACCATTAGCATATTGACGGGGAGGCAAGGGGGTGGACGCTGCCCTTATGACAAAAAGTCTCTTTGCAAAGAGGCAGTTTCTAGTACATAGCTAAAAGACAAGACTTGTTTAATTTTCTGGTCCTTTACTCTCAGCATGAACACAGGATGTTCCCTTTTCTTTGAAGCGACTAAACATTCTGTTTTGTTACAGTTTATAGTCAGACATTTTTCCTCACTCTCACTTATGACAACATCAAGATGCATTTGTAGATCACTGGCAGATTCCGCTAACAAAACTGTGTCATCTGCATAACTTATGTTAGTTATATTGCTTCCACCTACCCTCAGACCCTTCTCGTTATTTATCTCTCTCAAGATCTTTCCAGTTTAATGGTTGAAAAGATCTGGCGACATCACACATTCTTGTCTAACCCCTCTCACAATATCTGTGTAGTTACTGCATTCACCATCGACTCTAATGCATGCAGATTGATTCCAGCAGAGATTCTGCAGCAATTGAAGGTCTTTTTAATGCATATCCAACTTTTGTAGTTCGTCAAACATGTCATCATGACGAACTTTATCACACGCCTTGCTGTAGTCGATAAAAAAGATGAACTCATCTCTTTGAATTTCCACAGCTCTTTCTGCTACCATCCTCAGCACAAAAATGGCATTCCTAGTTCCCGAGTCTTTCACAAAACCGAGCTGCTCTATTCGAATCTCTGGTGAGATTCTGTTCCTAGCTCTCATGAAGAGGATTCACAAAATGATCTTCATGATGTGACTCATGACACTAATGGCAAGGTATTGTTCACAGTCCACCGCATCTGACTTTTTCGGAAGAGCTATGAAAACAGATTTTCTTAAAGCATCGGGAAATTTTCCATCATTATACATTTTATTGATTACATTCGTCAATTTTTCTACTCCGTACTCTCCTAATGCATTTAACATTTCGACAACTACTCACTCTGACCCTGCCACTTTGTTCTTTTTCATCTGTCTAATCGCAGCATGAACTTCTGACTTTAGAATCTTGGGTCTCTTGAATGGATCTTCAATCTCTGGTAATGGTTTCCTTACATCGTGAAATAACTCTCCAACATATTCCGTCCACCGAGCTAGAATATCGTTCTCTTCAACCAGTATTTTTCCATCCTTTTTTTTGATACATCCAGATTTTTAGCAAATAGTTTTTCTCTTTGTTATTTCATTTATTCTCTTATGTGGATGTTTATCTATCCTCTTATCAATTTCGTCGCATTGAGCTTCCAGCCACTTCTCTTTGGCTGCCTGACACATTTGTTTGATATCTCTATCAACAATTTTATATTCATTACTTCCTCTGTTATCGATTTTCTACCTGCTCCTCATTAATGATATTATCTCTTCTGTTATCAATTTACTTCTACTTATTTTGTCTTTCTCTGGAACCTTTTCTTGTACCGTTTCAACCAGAATATTCTTCATTGTGTCCCATGTGAGTCACCTTCATCAATTAGTCTGTCAAATATATTCTTAACTTGTGTTGAGTATTCCAGACGAGCACCTGGGTCATTAAGTCGTTTGAAATCGTGAGCCTTCTCTACCTTAGGCTTTTTCACTTTCTTCAATTTTGATTGGATAGCGCAGACCACGGAGTTATGGTCACTTCCACAGTCTGCCCCTGGATATACTTTTGCTTGCTTAACGGCACCCTTAAATCTTTCATTTCTGGTGATAAAATCAATCTGGTTCCTTGTTAGGCCACCAGGACTTTTCCATGTGTAAACTCGCCGCGGATGTTCTTTAAACCAGGTATTCGTTATTATCATGTCATTCCTCTCACACCATTGTACCCATATGTCTCCACGCTCATTTCCTACCCCATTTCCATACTGCCCTACTGTTTTACCATCTTTTCCACTACCAATTTTTGTATTCAAATCTCCCATGACAATATTGATTTCATCTGATTTACATTGGGCTTTTGCTTTCTCCAAGGTTTCGTATAAGTTGTCAATCTCATCTCATCTTTCTGTAGTAGGCGCATATACCACTATTATTGATATATTAAAAGGCTGACCATGCAACTTAACAAGGAGAACTCTTTCACTAATGGCCCAGTATCTCATTATGCATTTTTAAATATTGCTATCCATCAAAGAGTCCTACACCTTTTTCAAGATTGTCCTACACCTGCATTAATCATTCTATAGTCATTTATCCTCATTATTTGGCCATCTGGTTTCATTAATACCTAAAATATTGATGTTAAGTCTCATCATCTCTTCTTTCACGTTTTCCAACTTCCCAATTTGATATAGGGTTCTTACATTCCTCGTTCCCACTCTGATAGAATTCCTGTTGCGTAGAGCAGCTTTTTGACGGTCGGGATCCACCTGACGCACATGAAAGACCCTACCGGACGAGGAACCTTGGGTTAGCAGTATCTTTTAAATGGTTTGCGGTTCTAAGGGCCTTTTTTACATAGGTGTTTTCATCGTTGTGCTGGGATATGACCCCCTCTTCCTCACTTGAGGAACTTCCATCTCTTGTTTCTAGTCACTTGGTAGACAAAGCTTAGGTGAGACTTTTGTACACATGGATGACATTGGTTATGAAATATGTTTGGTTTAATTGTCACCCCAGATTTTTGTACTCTGTGGTTGATGCAACAAATGTGTTGTTACCCTGAAAGTCAAAGGACTTTTTGTATAGGCACTGATATTTTCTTTGGGCAATCATCGCGGATTAATTTTTTCAATGATTCGGGTTTGTGGTTGGCTCATTTTCCGGTATATATCCCGAAGTTTTGCCTCAGTTCTTTGTTTAGGTTTTTCCAGACCTGTAAAGCATCGTGTTGTCAACAAAAAGTTAACCTTTTTATGTTAGTAAGCATCTTATGAAGTCATTTAGATATAACAGAAAAATGCCAGGCCAGGCCTATTAGCCAATTTCTACTTTTGCTATTGTTTTTCGCAACATTTTGTGCAGGAGCCCCCTTGTAATTTTGATAGCACTACACCCCTGATCCTAGGGTAACGCAGCAAGTGGTATCACTTAGTGTGGAAAAAGGGATATACCACGGGGAGAATAAAGATAAGGCGAGAATCGCTCTCGCCAGCGTTATCTTTCGCTACATCCCGTTCCGTCGATACCATGACAAATTTACTAGGAAGACGGGTGGTGATCTCCGTATATATATATGATACCTATCAACCCGACGGAGTATTGTCAGTTGCTGCTACTTTACCTTTTTTAGTGACTGCAGCAGCCATTTTCTCGCAAAAGTTTTACTAGCATATGAGACCTTAAATGCACGATTTGCGGGTAACGCTTGAGCAGTTGGCTTTCCCAATGCAAAATCACGAAGTGGAAAGGCTGTTTTGGGAGATTGGCAATCGTTCAGAAATACGTGTCGCTGGCCGACGTATGAATGTTTTGTTGCAAAATGTCTCTCCTGGAAATATTTCTCTGATTAAATTCCAGAAATTTGATATGTTATGTATTTAAAGAGACAAGTATTTGTGTTATTCTTGCTTGTATAATGGGAAATCTATATCTTTCTTTGAGACTGTGGCTTTTATAATAATCTTATCGCACTCATTGATGTAATGCCTTTCCGTAGTTAACCATGGGTGGTTTTCACCCTTTATCTGTTTCTGTGTTAGAAAGCCCCATAGAAAACGACTTGATAACACATCTAACATATTAGGTAGGCTACATTGATGCTACATCGAACTTTTATTCTTTTGGCATTTGCATTGGTTGTAAGTGCTCTCAGCTTTTTAGTAATAAAAAGTTTTTCATTTCTGCATCGGTTTTCGCAGTTGCTGCAAGACATTGTTATTTTTGGATGTGGAAAACCAGATCTTCCTCTTGAAATCATGTCTTGAAAATACCGGCATCATGGTACTTTTACCATACTGTGTCAGCTCCGTCAGCAAATCACCCTGAATCTAATTGCAGCCGTTTGAATGGTATCTTCTTGCAATTTTGATCCTACCCAATACTTCCTTTACAGTTTTTCCCATGATTTTTCTATCTGCTTCTCCTTCCTATTTCCAATGCAACTGTCGTTCTACTCTATGTAACTCTAAAATGTTGAAACTTGCTTAATGACATCTGTAGATTTTTCCAAGAAGGAAGCATCTCCAAAGCATCTATTGATATAATTATTTGTTTTGCTGTGTTGTTTTGATTTTTCACAAAACTGGACAATCCATCAATAAGCTAATCCCAATGGTTAGTTTATGAGATGGCTAGACCAATGCGAGATTGGCTGGAATTCTTGCCAGCGTAATTCGCTAATTAAGCTCATAAATTGTATTTTATAAAGCTTAGAAGAACAAATCATTCTACTAAGAACATGGAAGGTCAATTTTAATGTGAAATTTACTGGAAGGTCGTGAAACTAAGCCATGATGACAATTTTTCATGCTATTGGCAAGATAAGCGAGTTTTTTTCTGTCTTTGTATAACTGTAAGGCTTTTTCTATTGCTGATCAGTCCTCTATCTAATGACTAGTGACAACTCAAATTTTATGTTTAAACACTTTCAATGTTTTTGCTTTTTTGCTGTTTCAATTGAATATGCCAGATTGCTTATCCATTAACTGTTGATTTACATTGATGTACATTAACAGTTCTTTCAGTCATTTTCCACTTCAATCGCATATGGTATATTTATGAGGAGAATATTAAGGAGATTTTCATCAAATTGGAACCAAAATCTCAGTGAGCTGTCAAGGTTAACAATCTGCTCAAAAGGATTGGGCCTTTGTGAACGAAATCCTTTTTGAATGGGAAACATAACTTAAAGGCCTAATTATTAGCCAGGATGAGTACACCATTACAAAAAACAGCCTAATTCCTCTAACGGTTGGAATTTCTATTCAATTTTTCAGCTTGTTTTTGCCAACGGCTAAAAGTTAAGAATTTTCATTGATGTGGTTACAATGTTATTAGAAAGTTGGAATTCCAGTCATTGACTGGACCAGACGTTCTTTGCTGTGTCGTTAAGCAGGTTTTCACAAGTAACTTCAACAAAGTTTTTACCAGCTTTCTTATCAAAATTGAGCTTTCTTCTAAATATTTGTAACACTAGAAGAATTTTAATCAGGCATAATAATATGAAACATTACTTAAAGGATGCTAATTCATCAATTGTCCTATGTATTATTAGTGGCTCGGGTTTTTAAGAATGAAGACATCACAGCACAGACCTAGCAAAACGCACACATAAACATGTAATTTTTTTTACAAAGACAATTTCGTATCTATTCATCTTTTTCATCGAATCAAAAAGTTTTGCTTGAAGCAGTCTGATGCAGTTCTTGCCCTTATTTTGTCACTAATTGTAAAATAGCCATTTGGCAAATAGTCTGGCCGTGTTTATGTGCATTCATGCACGTTCCAATTATTTCTAATTTCCTTTCCAGGAAAGCGAGTATGTGAAACTGAGCTCTTATGCTCAGATAAGTTTCAGCTTCTATATGCGCGGAAAAATATACAGTATTGTACAGTTTTGATTGAGGGTTTTACCCTAGTTAATACCTTACTCTTGCATATTTAAGGTGAATTTATACACACTAAGGGCACAGCTATCTGTTTTCAAACCTGTTAAGTACTCGAATAATTTATGAAAAGTTGTACCTTTTTTGAGCCAAAATAAGGAATTTAGTTATACTAAATTACAGCTTCATAAGGATCTCGACGAAACATAATTGATATCTTCCTTTCATCTAGTAAAAGATTTATTTTAGTGAAAAAATAGAAGAATGGGTGTTGGCAACATGTATAAATTATTGAATCTGTATTCCCAAAACCTGTACTTAGAGCTTGAGCTAATACGGCACGTGAATATATCGCAGTGAACCGGCAGCCTTTGTAACAAGATGCCATTTAAATTGGAAGGCTTTGACGGTTGTTGGCAAGCTTAATGTTTGGTGTAGCGTTGTCCAGAAACATTTGATGTATATAAGTTTGCAATTCCATTGGATTAAAAGCTAATCAGGGCCACATTAAAAGGAATTTGCTAGATTCCATGTCGTCTGGCCATACGGCGATCTGGGTGTCCGTCAGCACAAAAAAGGGAATGTGTCTTTTTGTTGAATCAAAATATCTTGCGGGCATAGGATCCTAAGATGCTTTATAAAGGGGCTTGTAAAGGTGCTTGCTTGTATATTCTGCTGAAGATATCACAAGTCAATTCTTAATGCAAGTACTGATAAAGATAATTGTAGTTTTTAGGGCAAGTTGCTTGAACAGACAGTAGCTTCATTGCGGGCTCGATTCCATGGGCCTGTTTTATGATCCCAGGGTTGGGAAAAGGCACACCTGCACTGGATTGCAATTTGCATCGGTCCTGCTATGTTAAGCCTCATTTTAGTTTTATTGGTTGAAGCGAAGCAGTAGATGTGCGTTGATGTCTTCATAGTGTAAGAGCTTTCTTACATTGTCTCGAATTTTTAGCGCATTAGATGCCAGCAGTATTAAGTGCGATACCTAGCTACCTGCTATATTTGCTACTCAAAGTTAGATATTGTATAATATATTATATATAAGGTTACAAATGCAGATGAAACAAATGTGACCTTGAGCGAAGTATGTGCGCAGTTTAACAATTCTTGTTTACTCATGAGCTATGGTAATTATTTTACTTTATAACAAATAGAAAAAAGACTGTCAGACTGTCTTATCTGTTTCCTGTTTTATTTGGAATACATGCGCCACATGTTGATTGTTTATGTTTTGTTTTAGAGCTGATGGCTGTGCAGGTCGATTGGCCGAATTGAATCCCTATGTGTCAGTAAATGTTTCCAATCACGATTTAACCAGCGATGATCTAAAATTCCTTCATCATTTCCAGGTATGTAAAACACACGCTCTACATTAAGAGTGAGTTTTCCAATAATTATTTTCTACTCGGTAATGGTATTACATTATAATGGGCGTCCTAAAAGTTTGAGCTGTTCTTGTGGCTTCTTGGACGAAAGTTGGCTGAAATATCTGCCATTATGTGACTGACAGACCGATGAAATTAGAACCACACAATCCCCCCATAATTAGATACGATGACAAGAATTACTAAGTGCATATAGAATAATATTTTTATCCGGCTTTAATCTTCGTTCTTTTAGAAGTGGTTTAGATAAAAATAATTTCGCTTCGGAGTTTGGATGTCCAGGTTTAGTTCGCTGGTCTAGGAATATTTGGACCTTTTTCTCGATACAAGCCATTTTCCTAATGGTACTTTTTGTGACATTGTTTCATAAGCAAGCCATACTAAGAATGCTAATAACCATATTTTCTCGAATACTCTGTTACAAAAAGCAAAAGGTTGTGCTTTTTTCTGTATTTTTCAATTATTCGCGGCTGTAGCAATTTAAAATAGCCAATCTCTTTATTTTAAGATAAAGAATTTGTCCCCATTATCGTTAAGTTGTTTAGAGCTTAATTTCAAGTACGGGAATTGTTTGAAGTCGGAGAGTGGAATAGTACGATAGGAATCTGGTAATACAAGATTTTTTAAGCCCTCACAACAATCTATTGAAACACAAAAGGTTCGATTGTAAACTTACGAGCATTACGAAAAACAGAAAATGGTGCATCGAATTTGAATTAACAAGTTTTATTTAGAGAGGGATATTTGCAGCTGCAAACAACAGACTATGGTGTTTGTCATGAAATATTCCAAAGGGGTTTTCAAATTGGTACTGATATACATGCTTAACCAAACATAAGAAAAGTTTTACTCGTGTAAGTTGCAATCTGTGGTGGTTGTGACAGGGTTGGTCATGTGATCCGAGTAATCATTGAATCGAACTCGCATTTTTGTGGATTCGTTTCCGAATTTGTTTCTGTGAAGTATTTTAGTTTTATTAAACCCTAAAGCCATTTTCTTTAAAGTAAGTGGATTGGATTTCTCAAATATATAAAATAAAACAAAGAATATATATTATTTTAGTGCTTAATTGCATAGACAATGATTGCCTTTTATACTGGATATTTTGGAATTTTGGATTTTCTAGCTTTTATCTACTTATAAACTTGATCATTCCGCGGCTTACCAACCATGCATTTTTACCCATTAAAGAGAATTTTAATATTGATATAGCCAATTCAAGGAGATAAATCTTCACTGAATAGAAACTGACAGCTATAAGTGATTCTTTGAATCAAGTTATAATGGACTTAGTGTGGAATCCCATTTAGAGGTTGATACTGGGATAGCCAATAGGCGCATGCTACTGTCTTGTTACTAGCTCGTACTCACAAATCAAGGAATATCTTTAGCATTGTTATGATTATTGCTTTAGCTGTCACCTCCACTTGTTTATAACATATTTTTACTATCTTCTTTAAATCTAATTAACCCTTAACATTTCGCCCTCTGTTACTAATAAGGAGTATATCTTTTAAAATTTTGCACCTTCATGGTCACAGCTTTAACAGTGGATAGCAAAATGTGCCAGAGGAGGGAACCCCCATATAAGATAAAAGTAACTTAAAATGACACTTAGATTAAAGATAATAGCCGATTCGTAGACATTAGGTCACAACTGCAGAGGTATCAAACACCCTCGTTTTTGCAATAGCTGTTTGACAACATCGTTGGTTGGTGGATAAAATCCTCTGAAAGTCGGTAAAACGGAGACCTTATTATCTTCTTGTATATCTTTGGCGGTATATATTTCTTTTTTGCTCTCCCCTTGTTACCTAAAACACTTCCCCATCCAGCCTGAAAGGTGAAGATACCCATCTTTTTATGACAGTGCCTTAAATCTTTCACCATGAACAGTATTGTCACAGGCCTTTGATAACATATGATCTCATTTCACCTGGCCTTGCTTACGTTTATTGCTTACGTACCTTTTGCCTTTTTAATTCGGGTTAACTCTGATTTTCCTATCATTTATTATAGTTCCCTTGGCAACATATGTTTGAAAAGCATTTTAAAGATTTTTAAAATGATAGTGGCGAGGTGATACTCCAAGTAAACATAACTTCATATGGCGTCCACACACGAATGATACAAATACTTTGCAAAAACCCATAACATCTTTCCGCGCCAATCAGAAATAGAAAAAGAAGATAAAGAGCAGGATATTGCATTTTAATTAGCTTTGCTCAAAATAGACTTTAGCTTTGCTACTATGGTCAATCAAGTACTATAAAAAACCATGTTTATGTCTAGCCCAGACAATGTTAGATTCCATATATCTTGCAGTTAACCTCTCCAATATTTCCCAATTAATTTATTCGTGATCGTGTGTTTTTATTATGTGTTTTTATCAACGAACAGTGATGACCATTTCAATGTTGGAGGTAACAAAGGATAGGGGTCTATAAAGAAATTTTTTAATATTATATAAAGAGAATATTTCGAAATACACGAGCAAGATATTGCACTTTGAAGTAAACTGATTAACAGTTTGTTTCGTGTATTATATCTGGCATAAAGAACAATCTAAGTGCACTGAACAAACAGTGTCATTAAAAATTACTGACAACGCATTGGTTATATGGATGAATCAACAAGTCTCAATGTAACTCTGCTTGACCAATTCAAACTTAAATTTGGGGCGTCGAAAAGGCAGCATTCTTCGGGGCTGATGTTTGCATTTTAGACTCATTTTAATGATAATCATTGTTTACTGGTGAGTCTAAGTGCCCGATACCGTATAGGCAGTGCTTTACACCCTTTGTTGCGTCAAACAAGACGGTTCTGAGTTGCAACCCTGTGTTTTAAGCCTAAAAGCCATGACAAGTTAAAGCTTTCATATCAAGGAGATTTTTGGTTATATTTTGCAGTGCGTCGTGCTGACCGAATGTTCCCTGAATGTCCTTCTCAGAGTCAACAAGTACTGCCGTGAACGCGGAATCATGGTTTGTACTGTCTGTCAAATAACGTTTCGATTTTTGATCTGAGATATTTAACACTTATTGGCTTTAAACGTAGATAAAACAATCCGTAATAAATATCGTGTTACAAAGTTCCAAATTTGCTTGTTTAAAGCCAGTAATCTAACATCTAACAATTCCAACAAAAACTAAACCTGTTTTTAATTTGTTTATAATATTGGATGTAAGATGTTTCAATTTACTAATTTGCGAAACAATGTTTAAATTATATTTGTCATGTTTTGTTGGATTGTCATGTTAAGGATATGTTGCCTTTCTCTCGGATTAAAAAACACTGCAAACATTGTTTCTTTAACCAAATTTGGTTATTCGTTGTAACTTGATTAAAGATCTCCACAAGATTTCGACGAGGCCTGTCACAATCCTGGTTATATCATGACGTTCTTATAAACTGTTTGAATTCTCGAATCAGAAATTATGACATAAGATATATTTAATCTTACATACTGATGTCATCTATAGGACACTGATCTTGCCAAATTATAAATTGAGTCTTCTATCCTGAAAATATAGGCTGCCCTTGACAGTGATCTAGTTGTGTTTTCTGAAGTAGTTGAGATTTCCTTAGGCAAAATAAAGGTAACAAGCTCTTAAAACGCATTTGGCCATCACTTTAACTAATACAGCAGCATTCATTTACATTATACACTGCCTATATTCTCTAGAAAGGCTTATTTAATGGCAAGATAGTTGAGTTAAAACTGATACACTCTATAGCAATTATATGTTAGTTCTACTCAGTGTTTTCTAGTCCCATACATGATTAGCCACGACAGTGCTCCAAGCAAGGGATTCAACTTATACACGAAACTTCATAAACTCATTTGATAAAGCCTTACCTTTTTATCTCTTTGATAAAGCCTTACCTTTTTATCTCTTTGATAAAGCCTTACCTTTTTATCTCTTTAATAAAGCCTCACCTTTTTACCTCTTTGATAAAGCCTCACTCATCTTCTTTACCTCTTTGATAAAGCCTCACCTTCTTTATCTCTTTGATAAAACCTTACCTTTTTATCTCTTTGATAAAGCCTTACCTTTTTATCTCTTTGATAAAGCCTCACTCACCTTTTTTACCTCTTTGATAAAGCCTCACTCACCTTCTTTACCTCTTTGATAAAGCCTCACTCACCTTTTTTACCTCTTTGATAAAGCCTCACTCACCTTTTTTACCTCTTTGATAAAGCCTCACTCACCTTCTTTACCTCTTTGATAAAGCCTAACCTTTTCATCTCTTTGATAAAGCCTCACCTTCTTTACCTCTTTGATAAAGCCTCACTTTTTTACCTCTTTAATAAAGCCTCACCTTTTTTACCTCTTTGATAAAGCCTCACCTTTTTTACCTCTTTGATAAAGCCTCACCTCTTTCACCTCTTTGATAAAGCTTTGTCTCAATATGATACCAGCCTTTTTTATCTTTGAGCAGTTCATTGCTGCCGATGTTTTTGGTCTTTTCTCAAGCCTATTCTGTGACTTTGGAACCAATTTTGAAGTGAGTGATGCGGATGGGGTAGAACCGTTAGAATTTCTCATTGGAAACATTACCAAGGTAAGGAGGTTTATATGCATGACTTCATTTAGCGTTTGATTCACATAATTTAGAAATTTGATTTAAATTGGACTAAACCGTAAGAATTCTTTCCAGGAAGAAATGTTAGGTTTTCGCATTTGCAATTCTACTTATGAGCTCTGCGATGGGCATACTGTGGTTCCTTTAATGATCTAACGAGCTGACTCAACTACCGAGAAAATACCGAGGTACCAACCTGGCCCGGCTACCGAGACATTTCGGGTGTTTTCACCCCTTTAGCAAGGTATGGCGAGGTGAGTTAAGGAGATTGTCACTGTTTTCAAGGCGTTCATCTGAAATTTTTTTGTTTATGAGAGGTTTTAGTACTACAGTTTGAAACAAAATTGTGTAAATTCAGGTGAGCTTATGATGTGTTTTTCATTGTCAAAGGGCAACCCTGCAGTCGTAACAACTCTTGATGACCAGAAGCATATCCTCGGAGACGACGATGCCGTAATACTGAAAGAAGTCAAGGGAATGACAGAGCTCAATGGGAAAGGTTTTGCAACCCAGTTCATTTCGCCAACGAAGTTCAGCATCGATTGTGATACAACAAATTACAAAGATTATGAAAACGGTGGCGTTGGTATTCAGGCAAAAAGATCAAAGAAATGTGATTTTCAGTCATTAGAGTCACAGTTGAAATCCCCTGATATACTCACTGATGATTATTTCAAATCGACTATGTTGAATTTTGTTACAGTCATAGCGTTTTACAAATATCTTGATGATACTATGTTAAGCTCGACAAATGAACTCAATGTTGACTACGAAAAGCTAATAGGCCTTGCGAATGATATAAATGAAGGCTTGAAAGACAAAGTGGGAGATCTATCCCAAAAATTAGACAGTTCGTTGACCAGCTGTTTGCCTTGTCAGTTTTCTCCACTCTGTGCTGCTGTAGGCGGAATTGCAGCCCAGGAGGTGCTCAAGGCAGTGACGGGAAAATTCTCGCCTTTAATGCAGTGGCTATTACTAGATGCGACAGAAATAGGTGAAAGACGATGCGACCCTGGCGATGATCTAAAGCCAAGGTATACCTCAGTAAACCGATGTATTGGGAAAGATCTTTTTCGTAATCTTGCTGATACCAAGCTCTTTATGGTCGGCTGTGGTGCGATTGGATGCGAGCTGCTGAAAAACTTTGCTTTAGTTGGCATTGGTACTAGTGAAAATGGCTTGCTCACCATAACTGACAACGATCTGATCGAAAAGTCAAATTTAAACAGGCAATTCCTCTTCAGAGAATACCACATTCAGGTATTGGTTGATGCCATTCCAGGCAGTTCCTTTTCGGATTTTAGCAGTGAAATTCTTGTAGACAAATAGTATTTATATTTCTTCCTGTTCTTTAAAATATGATAAACATGACAGTCCTGGATGATATAAAAAACTGGTTATTTAAGATGCAGGAAATAGGGGTTTGAAAATCGTGGATTAGTGGTACCTAAAGCATCCCTTTTGAACCCTTTTCCTACCAGCTGCTAACTTTTCGTGTTTTTATCAAGTATGTTACTTGCTATGTTGGGGCTACTCTTCCAATATAGCGTGGAGTGGTAGAAGGCTCTAGATAAAAAAGATATTCATTTTGACTAATTTCTGAATAAGAAGACAATTTTTCCATTAATATTTTTGTCTCTTTCGTCCTAAAACTTTGAATAAACCATTTTGCATAAAAGCTGTGATAGAGTGTATTTGGATGAATATTTTTGTGAAAATTGAGTGAATGTTAAAAAAGTTTTAAGACGCATCCAGAACTAATGTTATTTGTCACAATTTTAGAAACCAAAGTCTGTGACAGCTGCTGATTCAGCAAAACAAATAAATGGAGGTAAGTCGCTTGTCAGTTGTTCTTTCACACTTAATTTTGAGGACCCTTTGGTTGAAGCAGAAGCTGCATCATAAAACCAATCAAGCGATCCATGTTTCCTTTTGGGTCATGTTAACTCCCCTCTAGTTATGACATTGGAATTTTTTTAAACTTATTTCGCTGTTCGCCCGATAAATTTTTAATATAAAGAAGCTCCCAGCATTAGTTATCCGGTTTTCAGTTGTCCCGCGCAGCCCCTTAGTTTTGCAGTTGAACAATCACTTACAACCGTATTCGCTTTTTATTTTTTTAAATGTTGCTCTCGGTTTTTGATGAGTTTAAAAGATCCTCGTTTTGAGCTGGTCTCGTTTGTATCGTTTTAGAGGGACTTTGGTACATAGTCGAGTTGAGAAAGAAATCGTTAAGAAGAAATCTGTAAAAATATCGCTAAATAAATCTTTCAAGGATCGCCCAGCTATGCTGTGTTTTTGTTTTAATGTCAGAAGATAAGACAAAAAGGAATACGGTCGATGAAATTTTTCAAATTTTTTACTGTAGTTTTTGAAATGATAAGGTGAAGCTGGCAGATAGGAAATGGCCGTTTCTTGTTTTTGTATGGTTTTCAAAAGGCACAGGTCTCTAAAGTTCACATTTAGAATTATTGGAATTGAAAGAATTTAAAAAGTGGAATATATGAAAAAGGCTCACCCAAATCAGACAGCAATTTCTTATCAAATATTTTCGAAGAGCGGAAACCAAAAGAAAGTTCAGATTGGTAATCTTTTCTTTAAAAGAATGATTTCGTTTTCAAATTCACCCTGAGGTGGAAAGAACCCCAAGTTGTTTGGAGTCAAGATGCTAATGATTTTAGCAACCATCAAACCATCAGACATACAACTACCAGTAAACGCTCTGTCTAAATTTCTATTGATGTTTCCAAGGGCTTCGCCAAACTATCATTCAGATAGGAAATAACATTGTTGCTTCAGATTCGACTGAAATCAGTTTCGATATTTGTCCTTATCAATGATTCACTGGAGGTTCAATCTATACTTTCTGAATTCAAAATTGAATCGCACTATTTTTTGTAGGTTTGATACTTAAATCGCCATTTTTGGTCGACAATGTCCCTAAAAATGTCTGATATTACCTTAGATTGGCATATGTGCATAGGCCCATCGTCGAAAGCTTGGTTGAAGTGTTTATAGTGCTTATAGTTAAGAAATCGTCCTTAACCCAAGTAAGACAAGAAAGCTGTATAGACTGCCCAGGACAGACTTGCACTAAACACGTACGCCGTGTCAATCAAATAGAATCAACATTCTTTTGGTGGTACAAAACTTGAAAATGGCTTTGAAAAAGCAAACATTTAGCAAACTAAGGCTTTTCGTCTGACACTCTTCAGAGTTTAACGTCAGAACATAGATCGAAAACTCTACGCTAGGAAATATATATACCCAGTTGTGGATCGAAATAGGCCAATCAGAAAAATGAGCACATGACTGTTGAGGTTGACTATTGAGTTATCAGTGCCGCTTGCCTATTGAGAATGTTAGCAATGGAGTCCTAAGGTGAAAACGAACTCCTTTTTGTCTACACAGTAGCGGTTTTTTCGTGCTTATGTAGATAGATTCCAAAACTGCTAGAAAGAACGACGATCGGGCTTTACCAATAATCCGAAACATGTCGCCATTATAGTTTTTTGCACAATCTGGGTTTCTGCCATTCTTGCTTGATAGGTCTATCGATGAAATTTTATGATATTAGAATTGCAGTATAGATTAAGCTCGCCTGCCATTTTAGATATGGCAGACCAAAGATTGAATGTGGTATTTGACGATATCAAGCCGTGGTCCTTTTTATCAATGAAAGTGATGGTTTAAAGCAAATCTGCTTTGTACTTTTCCCAAGGTTAAGTGTCTTTCTATAAGGATAGATAAGCTAAGAGGGATGCTCATTTGCTCCCAGGCTTTCATTTCGTATTTTTAAGCAACTACCTCACCGTAATAATACTGCTGTCTTGAGCACAGTGATGCAGAGACCCACGCAAAGAAATGTTATTCTTGTTCACGAGGGTAGGCCAGTTGGCTGGGTAATTAGAAAGTTTATCGTGGCTTGCCGAGGCCTCAGGCCCAATGTTTTTTTATTTTGATCTTGATCAAAGTGGTCACTTGCATAATAGATGAACCTCACCATAACCTTATCTAATTAATGTGATGGACCACAAATATTTCCTATTGGATTTAGCTAAACCGTCCTGAAGTAGCCTTTCAATCAATGATATAGTTGCTCATAACAAAAAGATTATAGCAATTTGTGGCTGCTTTATTTTTGAACATTTTTTCAACTTAGCGATATAATAATTGGAGTTATTCATTCTTTGAATCTTGCCTAAACCAAACGAAATAAAGAACTATGCGAGGTATTTTTCCAAGACCTTATCAGACAATATGATTCCACCAGAGTACAATGACTTGAAGTTGTTTGTGTGTGGTTCAGTTCCGTCCACCCTTTTTGAACGAATAAAGTCTCATTGATGCAAAAGAATTTCTTAAAGTTTATATGATACAGCTTTAAAATGATATATTTATCAAAGAACTCTTGTGTTTTATGGAAGTGTTTCATAGCTGAAGTTGAATGATCTATTTTGCAGAAATTTCCGAAATCTTCCAGGCCTTCCATGTTGTCAATAATTACAGCCCCCAAACCGAGGCAGAATCAGGATGGCTGTTATGTGTTGCTAATTATTTTCATTGATACCTCCATTTGATATTTTAGATATTTGCATCAAACCAAGGCAGGAAAAAGGTACACCATCTTCTTCTTTTGTAGAAACTGTAGAAGTTTTTTAATTGCAGAAATTTCAAGTTGTAGAAATTTTCATAATAGATGTAATTAAATATTTTTGAAGCAGAGAGGCGAGGTCCATAATTCATGAATGGATTTTTGCCTAATGAAATGGGTGGTCGATGGAGCATGCTCGTCAAACCAGGTGTCTGACCATCCCATTTATCGAATATCTGAACACGGGAAAATCGTCTTTTTGTAATTTGTCTTCCCTCATTCTGTCTGATAAAAATTTGTCAGTGATAAGCACCTTTAGTGAAATTCCATAGAAATATAAGTATTACTGATAATAATGTTCTTCTGGTCGCACACGATAAAGCCAAAGTGATGTTAAATGTGATACTGCGTTTTTTAAATTTTTGGTTATCATTACGATGTGGGATCTGTCGGTGCTGAAAGCTTGGGAATCTCCTAGAATCTTTTAGCTGTAGGGATTCATTAAGATATTGTGAAGAAATACAGAGTTTCTTTAGATACTTTATGAACGCCAAAGAGCTTTTTCCTTTTTATGACTCCTGCTCGTTCAGTTACATAAAATTCTTGTCTTGAGTTACCAGTTACTCTTTTAAACCTTAGAAATATAATCTTTATGATCCAAAACATTACACCCTTGTTGAAAAGATATTCTCAATTGGGCACCCGATCATTATTGAATCATTTCCATTTTTCAGTGTGTCCAGACACAGAGGAGATTTTCACAGATCATTTCTTCAATAGTAAAGATATTATTGTAAATGCTTTGGACAACATCGAGGCAAGAAGATACGTAGACAGGTAACAAATGTCTCTGGCTAATGTTTTATTGATCTTGCAGGCATTCATTCCGATCCCATTAAAGAGCAGTTGACTGTCTTTTAATAAGCAAGATCAGCCTTTCAATTGACATAAAATGCAATTGCTTTTTGCTGTCTTTGCTAGGAATGGATACTTGAAATTTGTAATTCGTAAACGTGTAATTCCTAACCTAAGTTTAAAGATGAATTGCAATTTTTCCCTGCGCTCGTGTAGTAGTCAACTGAGTGACGTAACAGGAGATATTTGATTAGAAGATTTGTTGCTTGTGGGTTAAAGATGGAAGTAATGTAGGTTCATAAAAGAGGATCGTTTTTGAATTTGGGTGCAGAAAATTCGACAGCTTCGAGAGTTTTTTAATCTCAAAGCTTCCATACCGCAAAAATTCCCTTGATCTTCGAACATCGTTTATCTTTTTGGCAATTGATTTTGTTAATAGAAACTTACCTTTGTCTAGTATTTTGAGGTTTTCCTGGCCAGATCTCTCACCTTATCTCCATAAAAAGTGTCATTATTGGCTACATTTTATGGGTTGATATCACAATGTATTTTTAACTCACATTGAGGCAAATATAGAAATAGCTTGATTGAAGTGTAACCCAAAAGGGCCTGTTTTGCTGGCGTTAATTAGCTTCAACTAAATGTGTTAAGCCAACACAGAAGCTAATGAATGATGATCATGTTTCGCATTATTATTATGTTTCTGTTCACTATACTCAGTGACCTTCAGACTAGGGGCGGGGAGGGTCATTAATAGAAAAACTTGCCAACGAAGACATGGATAGAGAAGAATTTAGGTGATATTTCACCTATTCATAAATGATTTACCGACAAACTAAGTATTTTGTAGACAAACCGAAGATTTATCAACGAATTCATGAAATGTTACACCCTCCGCTAGCTACGCCCCTGACTATACCAATTAAAGCATTTTCGAAAAAAAAAATATTGCTTTGCATGAAGAACCAAGCCTTTGAATTGCCCAATTATATGGGTGGTATCAGTTTAAATGCCCTCTGGTAATCTTTGAAAAAAACAAATTATTCCTCCAGGGCAGATCTGATGTAAAACTAAGGCATTTATTGTTATTTTGCTTTCCAAGTGTTGTCTCCTTGAACCTTTGGCTTTCAGTAAAGATAATATTTTTAAGAAATTTTAGATCAGTTGAAACTTGCTGTTTTATAGATAGGGTCCATTGTTTGCCATCTGAGGAATGAAATGGCATGCAACGGGAATTTCGACCTCCAGTGCTGTAGAATGAAACATTTTTGGGTTGAATTGTCATCTTTCCGAGCATCACTGTCGCTTAGTCGTAGAGCAATGCTTACCGGTTTTTATTAATAGCTATTTATGCTTATCTGTCTGCTTTTTGGATAATACTAGGTGACTCTTTCGTCTTTGTTACTCGGCCTTATTCGAATCAATTTGTCTCCAATTTTTTTGAATGCTCGTCTTAGGAAGCATGGTGATTCTTATGGTTATTCGCGGCAGTATTTATAGAAAGAGCCTCCGTAACCTATTGATCGTCAAAAGAAACATTCTTGTTCATTGAGGAAATTTGGATTGTTATCTTTTACAATTCACATCTCATCTAGTTGTATGATTGTATTAATAATCAGGAGTTGGCAATAATCTATCGGTTCTTGTGGTGCCATTCAGTCCTGTGGTCTTTAAATACTGCCTAATCTTGCCAAATCTTGCAGCAAGAACATGATGGTTAGCAGGATTTCGGTTACTATAGTTGGTTTCTTTGTGTATTAAGACAGTTCTCGATGATCTTCGGTCTTTCACGTTAGGCTTTTTGGTCAATTAAAAAGCCACAGTTTTTCTCCGCTTAAGAGGATGAAAATTCTATCTCTAATGGATGATGTTTAAGGTTTGTGGAAATACAGACATTTTCAATTTTTTTATGCCTTCAGCACAGTGTTCAAATGTAGGTTAAGGCAATAACGAACCGTTGTATTAACCACGTGCAAATACTTTGAAGGCTATATACGAACAAATCCAATAACAGCAGTCTACTGGCCCCCGATAATGCGGATTCCTTGCAACGATTAAGGCAGATACAGTTGATAAAACTCCGTAATATCTTGATTACCTGGGTTGTTATTTTCCGATATCCGAAGTCACTGTGGAGTCAAGGCTTTCAGTCACTAATAATACTGCTTTAGCCAATTTTTTTGTTACTTTTGGGTTGTTAGAAGATTGTTGCTTTCACATTCCATCTCTTACATCGTTGTTTCTCGTTTTGTAAACCGGATAGCGAAAATGAAGATATTAAATGCTTAAATTTGCATGTTATTTTAACCATTTTCTTAAGATAACCTTTTAACCGCCTTCCAACTTTATTATAGTATTTTTACATTCTCCATACATTTTAATAAAGTAAAATGTCAATTCGCAGGCTCTTTATTTTAAAAAGACATTATTTTTGTGCCAAAGCCCCCTCCTTGCTCTCCAAGAAGAAGACTTTTAGGCCACCTTCTTTTAACGGCCATTTTTTGTCCTAGAGATGTATGCCATATAGGGTTTATACTGTACTTGATTGCATTTTCAGTCAATTTATAGTTTTATGATGCTGCATGGCATTGCTTCTACCTTGCTCAGCCCTTTGTTTCATATGATGTTAACTGCAATGCATTCCAGCATAAGCGAACAACCACTGCGGTTACGTCTGTGATTATGGCTACAAATGTGGTTGCGGTTCCATCTTAATCCGTATCTGTTATCTAGTGCATTCAATGCCTGTTGAGTCTGGGTGTGTCTTTGATGACAGTTGACAGATAACGCCTATCTGTCAGTGGTATCGAGGCCAAGAGGCATCGCACCTATGGCCCCTCTTGCTGTCTGCTAAAAATCCCTCTTTATAAGGACCCGTCCTGTTGTTTTATTTTTTCAAATTTTCACAAAACATTGCCAGATCAGAGCATTTGACAAGCAGAACACTGAACCAAGCCTATGTTTAGTTGGAAAATAGACACCCCCTCTTCAGTGATTTTATTACGCACATATGTAATTTTATAAATTTCTGTTAATTTCTGTTTTCGTGATAATTCGACATCCTCTTTATCTCTCTCGCTCTCTCTGAGCCTTGAACGAAAAATTGCTGCAGTATGTTGTAAAGTATATTCACTATTTGTTTGCAATCTTTATATCCTTTAGTTTTATTGTTATCAGTGGGTATCATTCATATCTATGCTGTTTTTCGATTCCCTGTGATTACCACTAACATTGCTTCGGTCAGTTTTACGTGTTCTACAGTCGACTCCGCTACGTACTCTTTGCCTACAGTCGACTCCACTTATAGTCAATCTGCCTAGCTGTCTGTTACAGTCACATGGCAGTCAGGCCTAAATATGTAAAACTGTTCAATAATGCCCCGTTTGTGAAGCCACAGTTGGTCTGACTATAGACAGATCTCACTGTAAACTTATCATTAGCTATTTCCATGCTACCTTCTGTGATCCATTTTAAGCCCCTTCAAAGATGGTTAACACAGTATTATTCTGATTTAGTCGCTGTGTAACCAATCGAAGACCGTTGATTGATACAGGAACTCTTGGTCCAAAAGGCCATGTTCAGGTACTCCACCTGTAGACTTCATTCTCTTGATTTCAATTAAAAATCTCTCTTGTTATGAAAAAATATTAAGTGTAGCAATGCTGTAAAGTTCTAGAAGTGTGGTTGAGAAGAATCTTTTTTTTGCAAAAACATGCAGTGCCTTTAAAATATATGCCAGGCCGTTTCTTCTTGTTTTTTTGTCAGATCATCAGGTATTTTTTAGATTGATATTGTCTAAAGTGTTTAGAATTCGATTGACGTAGAAAGCGTATTTCTGGCAGCCCTATTTGAGGCCACATATAGGACCCTGTTCAGTCCTATTTGAAATTTGAAGCCCCAAAGAATGATGAAGCATATGTTTAATTAGTAGATGGTAAATGACCAAGGAATTGATATTTTGAAGTTTAAAAGGTTTCTTTGTGTTGAAAAATATATTAACTTGTTACTATTTTATCCGTAGGTTGTTCTGCCATTTATAACGGAATCGTATTCAGATTTGGTAAGATTTCTTAATTCTACCAAATTTCCAGCCTTCGTTTTTAAAGAAAGAGTCCACTGAATTTCATTTTGAAAACAAGGTACTATTTTTGAAATAAGATTTTGTCATAATGCTATGTTTTTATTGCAGTTTTACAATCCAAGTTAGCACTTCTTTAATTTCGTCAGTTCCTGTATCTCTTGTTTCTTATTTCATATAAAATTATTTCTAATTTCTAGGAATTAGGTTCTGAATTTCTGAACATGATATTTTGTTTCCTTATTCCAGGCAGATCCTGTCGACCAAGGCGTACCGTACTGTACTTTGAAGTCATTTCCTCAAACTATAGACCACACCATTCAATGGGCCAAAGACAAGGTGAAGGGAGAGAAATTCTCTTTTTAGCATCGCTACGTCTCTACTGTCTGAAGACATTCTATAGTTTAGAGCCTTTAAAATTCTATATACATTCACTCTTTACACTCTTGAGGAAATTTCGCGGATATAGGATACGATATCATTTTCATGATACTTGGACAAATGAAAGCTAATTAAGACATGAAAAGGAAGGAGAAGTGATGTTTTCGGTTTTCCTTTCTCGACATTACGAAGTTTTCAAATACATTTCTACAATCCTGGACAAAAGGTTATGAGACAATTACTTTTTAAGTGATTTTCTGCGTAATTGCCCTCAAGCCAGTGGTATGCCCTTCCCCCCAATGTCAATGTTGGTGGTGGGTAATGGCAGTTGATTGTGGAAGCCAGAAAACCGAAAAAATCAACATCAACATTGATATTGGGGGCAGGGGGTTGGGTGCTTTTGCAATAAATGATTATAACAGCAAATGTCTCCAAACTTTTGTCCAGGATTGTAGATCACTTCATTTGGATTTATATACAGTTCGTTATTGCCCAGGACAGATTTTCTATAAATAAGGGCTTGGTTTCTATGGTAAATGTATCTAATTGCAACTTTTTTACAGATTGACGTAATTTTTTATTATATTCATGCAAAGCCAATTCCAACTCTAACATCATTGCATCATTTTGTTATTCATGGAACCTTTAGTTTGTCTCCTGCTTCACAAGCAAACCCGCCGGCTTCAACAAATTATGGGAGAGATATGGAAGTCTGAGAAAGTTAAAAGAGGTAGCTTAAGTATTTTGGATTGTACATGATAAACTAACTAGTCACTGGTAGGCCTTAGCAGTAACACTTATTGAGGAAAATGCCTTTTTCTGCTCAGTAGAGACATTTAATTAGAGTATATTCTGCATTGTCCAATCAAAGTTGCAGAATGTTTTAAGGAATTTGTAGTCTTTATAGGCGCTCTCCAGATAACGTTAGTTGGAAAATTGATTTCCTTGAGAGAGGACTGTTTATCATTTTGTGTTTCCTATTCAAATTGCATATTGTTTGCAAAATGTGACTTGGAATAATTGCAGTACACAAAATCAATTCCCTTAGTATACTGTTTGCCTTTTGGTTCCATTTTTTGCTTTTAATTTTTTGCTATCTCTGCCTCTCTGTCCATTTCTCCCAATGCATTTCCTCAACTAGCAACTCAACAAACTTTGCTTGAATTTTGTCCTAGGCGCTAGAGAGCAATGCACCAGTTCCAAATGAATTTGTGTCCAGCATGAGCTTTTTGCAACAAAGGCCTAAGACATGGGAAGACTGCCTGAAAATAGCAAGAATAAGATTTGAAAAGTATTTCAATCACAAAGTAAGTTATACGGTTGTCACGCTTTTCTACAACTCTGCCTAGTAGAGTTTAAAGGTTTTGTACTTTGCCAGGATGAGTTACATTTTTGAACACTGCAAATATTTATTTAGTTGGAGATTTACTTCAACTATACTGCCTTTTTGTAATCATGACTCGATTTTGTCAGACAAATAATGCAACGTTTAAAATAATTGTTATCATGACAAGTGTTACTTAAGAATATTGTCTGAGAATCTGAGAGAGCATTAAGAAAGGAGACAGTAGAAACATTAGTTTTTTTGTACAATTTGCTTGTTAGGTTGGTTTTTGTAAAAGTTTCGTGTTAGCTTTCTACTAAAGATATTTCTATTGAATGTTTTTTGGTTTTTACAGGCAATGCAGTTATTAGATTCATTTCCAGTTGATTACAAGTTGGAGGATGGAAGTATGAAAATTTTTTATTTTCTCTAAAGAAGTTTATTTGTTTTAGTTATTATGTCAAAGTTGTAATAGTTTTGATTTGACACAGTCGTTGAAATTTTGATTTTTATAAGCTCGTGAGGTTTATATGCTCTTCATGGTCCTTCTATTCCTTGTATTCTACGTTTACAGTCAGTCATTAAATGTGTACTCATTTCACTTTTGTTGATTTTCTACCTAGAGTTTTCAATCGCTTTTCTCTAGTTCAGCATCTTTTCTTGCTAGGCTTGTTCTGGCAGTCGCCAAGGAGGCCTCCAACCCCAATTATGTTTGATGCAGAAAATACTACGTGAGTACCAATAAAACTAAAATTTCTAGCTTTGAGAATGCTATGTGGAATATTTATTTATTCTGAATACGCGTATTGAAAGATTGTATCATTCTTGTGCAATTTTTGCTGCTTTTAGCACAAACCATATCACCCTGACAAGGATGAGACTTCGCTGAGACTAATTTCATTTCAGTCAGGATGAGACTAATTTCATTTCAGTAGGCTTTGATGGAAAAATGAATGGATAAAATACACTGTAAAAATTGAGTTCAATTATTTGAGATTTTTGTTCCTACAGATATTTTGGGTATCGATTTTCTCTTCCTACCCTAGCTTACCCGGTTTTCGCGTAGCTATAACTTTTCAGTTAAATTCCAGCTGTGGTGGCAGGTTCACTTGGTTATAGAGAACAGATGCTAAATGTCTGCACATTCCCTTTCAGGCACATTGGTTTCATCAAAGCCACAGCAACGCTAGTTGCTAGAATATACGGCATTAAGGTTTGCTTTTTTAGCCTTAAATTCAATCGTCATTGTTTATTTTAAAGCCAGTAAAAGGTCAAATGTGAATAAGCCAAAAATTGACACTGTATACTGCATCGTTTATTTTTGTTATATAAGATAGATCTATGTAATATATGATGGATCTATGTATTATATGATGGATCTATGTAATATTTGATGGATCTATGTATTATATGATGGATCTATGTAATAAATGATGGACCAGTACAAAATCGTATAGATCAGCCTTATGTATGATAGGCCAGTTAAATTGTAATGGTTCAGCGTGCTCCTCGCAACTGATCGTTGTCGTTAGCTCCTTTATTTCATATTTCTTGCACTTAATCCTAACTTCAGCGATCTGTATGAATTATGCCTGCAGTTTAGTTTTTAATAAATTCAAATTTACCTCAAATGATGTCAGTTCATGTTTTCCATTCTCTCTGTTCTGTGAAATGCGGAATCGTAACAGGAACAAACAAAATATTTATACGAAACTTATTTTTTAATCTAAATTCCAATGTTGCCAACATTGTCGTTGAGATATTTTATCTTTGTATTTAAGGGTGACGATGGCTCGTCTATTAACGACGCTTTATCAAAAGTCAAGGTTCCAAAATTTTGTCCTTCAAACAAGGTTAATATCGGTTGATTCTATTCGTCAATTCTCCTCTTAGTTATGCCAATATATCATGAAGTTAGCTTGTTTTAAGATTTTATGCTTACTATGATGGTGAGCTTGGGCATCGTTAATGCGGAAGTTTTTCTGCTAGCTCACTAAGTAACTCATTTTTGGCTATTGCACGCATCAAATTTAAAATGATTCTAGTCTCAGTTTTATCCTTGTACCAAAATGTCTTCTCTCGACAGCAGCTACTATTTTTCATTTTCGTTTTTATTGATTTGCGTCGTGTCACCTTACCTAGACCTCTTTTTGAATTTCACTGTAAGGATATAAGTTCATCTGACACTGCTCAAAAGAAGCACACGGTCTTTTTAGAGAAGCTGAATTTGTAATCTATTCACTTGGTTTCGCGACTTTTATTCAAATTTTTGACACCTCTGTAAACATGTCAGTTAATCGACTATTCTCCATTACCACGTCGAACTACAGCCTCTATCTTGCTTTGGCCTCTTTATCGCCCCAGAATCAATGCAGAATCACAGTCCTTTAGATTATCAGTGTGTGTTATGTTTTATTTTCGTTTTGCAATCCAGTTTTAAATATGCGTATTACTCTCCTGGTGTTATGCTCATCACAGCTTAATTTAAACACTCTTGTCTTCTTAGAAAATTGCTCTCAATGAAGAGGAAAGTGAAAAGACTGAAGAGCAGATAGATCCTGGCAAAATCGAATTTTATCGACAATTTCTGATTCAAAGTTTCAAGGACAACAACGAATTGTCTGATGGTAGTTATTCGTACTTCATACTCTTAAAATGATTGTTACGTTTGAAAAAGTCTTGACATTTTTCTTTAGAATGCAGCTCCGTAAGGTCATTAAAGGTCCCATCAGTCAAACGTTCAAAGTTAACAATAAGCTTTGCAGCGCGTTTATGAGTAGGAAAACATCGAGAATCAGCCGATTGGATGCGTAAGAGTATGTCTATTGTGTAGTCCAGCCAATGGGAAATTTAAGTGGCCATAGAAATGCGTCGGGACCTTTAAGAAAAACAATCATAGTTGCATTGATTGCTTTTTCTAAATGTTTTTTACAAGATGTTTTGCAAAAATGTGCAGATTTTTGCGACCTTTACTCGATAAACGCGTACCATTTCTTTGTAAATCATCAATGAAACTTTTAGAAACACGTCTTGTGAACAACTGTCAATCAAAGTAATTGCGCCACTCTAGCTTCTATTCCCTAGTGGAAGGGTGTAAAACTCAACGATAGATTTGGCCTAAGCACAAGACATGCTCTGTTTCACACGACAATCATAATAAATAATTATCTTTATGAGAATAAAATTTGTTTGGATAACTAGACTATCAAGAATGTCTATCGCATTATATCTAAACGCATTGTTTAATTTCTGTACAGAGAAGCTTTTAACGATAGGCTACTTATTCCGCGGGTCATATACCATGAACTGGGTTTTGCCCGCAGAATATGCACATGTAATGCTTTAGTTTTTCTACCATGCCCTTGTGCATTCGTCAGACTACGGCCATACTTACACTGATAAGTTCAAAATGATTGTGTTTTTATTTCAAAGAAACGGATCAGAAATTTAGTATCTACACAGAAACGATATGTTTTTACAACGAATTGTTAGTGATATATTTATTTTGCCATGTAGAGAGTGGTACAATAGCAAGGTGAAAGGATTTTTATTTAAAAACAAATCTATGTATATTGGGCCTATGGTTGATTTTCTTTTCACGTAGGATTCGATATTTTTACTCCAAATAATGGTCTTCCAAACGATAACTTTTTAGGGACATTTCATATGCATTCTGAAACGTTTGAAAAGGATGATGACACCAACAGCCACATTGACTTTATAACCGCTGCATCGGTAAGCCATTCTATTATTATTAAGCCTATCAACACCTGTTTGCTGTTCGCGTTGTGTTTTTCTATGTTTCATTTCTATTCCTTAATACTTTTTTCCTGCAACTCCTTTCCCCATAGCATTGTTGATAATTTGGCCAAATACCAAAATTGTTTCAAAGTGGAGAGGAGGTGGCTGAGTTTGGTCCTGAAAACTAACTTTAGTCCTCCAGGACTTCGCGTCGTTGCGGGTCAAAGCGTTTTTCAAAAATCAGAGTGAAGATGCGCTAGCTTGCGTTTTTTTAAGCAAATGCAATTATGGGAGTCGGTTTAAATGAGACTTAGATTTGCTCTCTGAATTCCAGTCACCTTCGCCTGACACTCCAACTTTGCCATATTGCGACGATTGCGCAAAACTTCGATCCCCGCGTCATTCGTCAAAATCGCAAAAAAGCTCGTCTAGTGTGAAATCAGCTTTAAATCAAGAAGTAGTTGATTTATTCCAGGGACACTGATAGCAATTTTTGAATACTTTTTGTAATCATCAGCAACCATCAACACAATCATCGTCATGTTTGCCATCATCATTATCATATGGACGAACTCGATAGCCTAACAGTTCTATAGGTGTCTAAGAACGTCAATAGAGTGTGGTACCCATTATAAAAGCACGCTGGTTTTTTGTTGCCTGCTAGTTATCTAAAGCGAATCATGCTTACTGGTTATTTGTATTCTAGAACCTGAGAGCTGAAATGTACAGCATCGACTCTGCTGATCGCTACAAGACGAAAAGAATTGCTGGGAACATTATCCCCGCAATCGCCACTACAACTGCTGCAATTGCTGGTCTTGTAAGTAACATTTGCGTATTCTACGTTGATCATAAGGGACTGATTTAAATCACGGTTTTCTATAAGCAAACCCGTTTTAATTTCTTTCGCTGAAGCAGAACATTTGATGAATTGGGGTCAGATTCAATCAATACGAGTTTTTTTGCTGTCCCGGGTGACTGGGCCTGCAAATTTGACAGTTTATCTACAAAAGCTTGTTTTTGGTCCCAATGAAGACTTACAATAAAGACATAATCACCAATGGTTTATATCTTGATCCGTTAAGCATTCACCTCTTGATAATAGTTTGTTTAAATTTGCGATCTGCAAAACCCACTTTTGAGTACATGTTTTCTAGTCCCACTCATCTTGTCTCCTAATCATACTTATCACTACACATGTCAGGAATATGCAGACAATGTACTGCTTGCGAAGTTCTGTTGATTTTATCAATAATTGATTGAAATTTAAGTTGTTCTTCAATGTGGGTCTATGTCTGTTTATCTCTACTTAAGCAGGTCATAGCCAACGCTTTATCGTCCGTTGGAAAGTAAAAACAGTTATTCACAAAAACATTGTTCTGTAGACGACTGATGTTAGCTTGATGTGCGTGATTACCGTTGTCTCAGACTCAATCGAGATTGGGATAAGGCGCCAGTTTGGTTCGGAATAGAAGTCTTTGGGATAAGAGGTTTATATGTCGCGCTTATCAGTAAATTGTGGCACCGAATATTCGCTAACTGTTTAAACAGGAAAAAATGTTGCCTATTCCTAAACGTCTTTGACAAACAGGTTTAAAGTGCAAGTGATTTTCACCTCGTTTGTCAATTCAATTATGGTCTGCACATTTTTTGAATTGATTTGATTTAATCCAGCGATTTTTGGGCTTTGTTGGCAGCTTATTAACATGTCCTTGGCTAGAGTTATGCCTTCTGTAGAGTCCTTGCCAAAACATTTCAAAGTTAGCTATTTTGATTTATCTTCAGATCTTTAGCGTTTTCTATAGAAACGACCCCATTCTTTTACATAGCTTCCATCTATATTACTGCAGTGGAAGCATTCGTCAATATAGAAAAATAGGCATTGGAGGGCAACCGTCTTAAATTCGTCATCATATCTTGACCATATGTATGTCGTAGATTGGTGATGCGATGATATTTGTACGATGCAATATTGCTGCTGCTGGTAACTCTATATTGAGAGGGTCATATACTGAGAATGAATTGTTTCAAAAAATGATCTATTTGACTCTCATAAATTTATTCAACTATTGAGATTTAAATTGTATTGTTATTTAGTTCCTTTCATTGCCTTCCCCCTCTTTTAACGCTCCCTCGGATTATCCCTTAGCTAAAAAGGTCCAGAATTGACAAGAATTCTGTGGGTTTATTCGAGTATACACTTTAATACTGTAGAACCGCGCATAATTTTGGTACTCAAAACATGTACAATAAGCCTTGATTAGCAATCTATTGCGTGTAATGTCAATTTGACAATAGATCACTTGACCATTTCAAGACAATAGATTGTTAATGGTTCTTTAAGATACACTTATTTCATGTATCTTCAAGATACATGTAAATGATACACTTATTTCTTCGTAGGCTACCATCGAGTTAGTTAAGATAATTGCAAAGAATCCCGTCAAACAGATGAGGAATTACTACATAAATTTAGCAGTGCCAATTGTTGTTAAAACAACACCACAGGTTCCACCAGAGACGACAATAAAGTGAGATTTGATTATTATAGTTTTAGTACCTATACAAGTTTTCGTAGTTTAGATCAGTTATTAGTCAGGAACCTTTTGTCATAACAAATTGTTTACTGCAATGCTAGTTATCGTATTCAGATCATGCTTGTTTGCTTGCTTGCATGTTACCTTTTTTGCTTGCTTGCATGTTACCTTTTTTGCTTGCTGGCATGTTTTTTTGCTTACTTGCTTGCTGGCCGTTTGCTTGCTTGCTGGCCGTTTGCTGGCTTGCTTGCTTGCTTGCTCGCTTGCTTGCTCGTGTGCTTGTTTGCTTGCTTGCTGGCTGGCTGGCTGGCTGGCTGGCTGGCTGGCTGGCTGGCTGGCTGGCTGGCTGGCTGGCTGGCTGGCTGGCTGGCTGGCTGGCTTGCTTGCTTGCTTACTTGCTTGCTGGCCGTTTGGTTGCTTGCTGGCTTGCTTGCTTGCTTGCTCGCTTGCTTGCTCGTGTGCTTACTCGTATCCTTGTTTGCTGGCCTGTGCATGTTTGCTGACAATCGTCCTTTTGATTAACTACAACCGTGTATTTGATTAATGGCAATTATTGAGTAGTGGTTCAGACAGCTCCCAAACCTCTACTGAATGTCAATCAATCATTTTTAGATAATGGTTAGAGTTTTGTCCGATTTCTTTTCGGTTTATCTTACTTGACCGCTGATGTAGCAAGATTTTGTACACATTTCCAAGTTCATAAGTTGATAAAGCCATTAGCATTGATCTTGATTAATTGTTAAATAAAGCCGTTTTTGTATGATATTTGGCAGTAGCGGTTCATATCGGCTAAGAATTTAGATATTAGCCAGACAAAGTAATAATTTTTATCTTCAATCATAGAGATGGCATCACCTTTACAAAGTGGGATCGTTGGGATATTAAAGGAAATCAGGACTACACACTACAAGACTTACTTGATCATTTCAAGGTACAAGATGTAGCGAGAAACTTTCATTTTTTTATTGCTAAAAAATCTCTCATTTCTCAATTTATTCATTTGTAGAATTTTCACACTTAAAAACTTGAATCTGCCCGCAAGCTGAATTTCTATCAGTAAAGATGATTCATGTTAGATATGGATTGGAAGATAGTGATTGGTAGATAGTGATTGGTAGATGGTGATTGTTAGATAGTGATTGGTATATAGTGATTATTGCTAGATAGTGATTGCTAGATAGTGATTAGTAGATATTGATTGTTAGATAGTGATTGTTAGATAGTGATTGTTGGATAGTGATTGTTGGATAGTGATTGTTAGATAGTGATTGTTGGATAGTGATTGTTAGATAGTAATTAGTAGATAGTGATTGTTAGATAATGATTGTTAGATAGTGATTGTTAGATAGTGATTGTTAGATAGTGATTGTTGGATAGTGATTGTTGGATAGTGATTGTTAGATAGTGATTGTTGGATAGTGATTGTGGATTAGATTGTGTAATACGCTCACTTAGTTAGATAGTTGAGTTTTGAGGGATATGGTGAATTGTTGGATTGTGATTTAGTGACGTATTGTTAGATAAGTGATTGTTACGATAGTGATTCTGTAGATATGATATGTTCAACTAGAGATACAGTGGATTGATCGTTAAGTAGTGATTGTTATATTAGTGATGTTAGCTGATAGTATTAAACAGAAATGTTGGCGATCAGTGATGTAGATAGTCATGTTAATAGTGGATTGTTAGATAGATTGTTGGATAGGTGGGTGATGTAATACATGTGATTTTAGTTGACTTAGGTATACGATATCTTCAGCCAAAATTGCTTAAGATAGGACGTGATTTTGCTTGGATATGTGACTGGTTGTTTGAGATATCGAGTGATTGTTTAGATAAGTGATTTCGTTATGATAGCTAGATTGTTAGATAGTCGAATTGTTACCGATGTGATTGATGTTTAGGAACTCAGCAGAAAGTGATATTGTCTGCAGGGGCCCCAGGGCAAACAATTTCGTGATAGTGAATTCTATAGAACAAAACGCAAGTGCTTGTATAGAATGGAGGTTCCCGTTGAACTTACGCTTAGATAGTCGCACATTTTAGATAGTGATTGTCGTGGGATCTTAAGTCGAATTCGTTACGATTAAACTTAAAACCTAAACTAGTGCGGGGTGTGGAACGTATAGTGCTTGATTGACTATACTGTATAGTGATGTGTTAGATAAAGTGTACTTAGTGAAAACTTTTATAATAATCAAATCTCACTTTATTGTCAGTGTCGTGCGCTGGCACGTCTTTTTGTTGTGATAGTTGATGTTGTTTTTGCGGGATAATTGATTTGTTAGATGGCAGGACCCGGTGATTGTTGTGGATAGTGTTGGTTGTTGTAATTGTTAATGTATGTAGACAACAATGTTATTGTATGGCGCGATAGTCATTGTTTAACGTAGTGTGTCCATTTAGTCAATTTATATTGTTGATATGATGATGACAATGATAACGTAGTAAATTTGCCTTTCATTCTGTTACGGGATATTGTGATCATATTAGCTGCCGATTATCTTATTGACTAACCTTTCGATGATGCAGTGTTAGGTTTAGGATGAGTCATTGCTATCGTGATGACAATAATGCTGTATTGCATTGCTTACAGTATTCGGATAGGATTTTAGATATAATTAGTAGATAGTGATTGTTAGATAGTCATTGTTAGATAGTGATTGTTAGATAGTGATTGTTAGATAGTGATTGTTAGATAGTGATTGTTAGATAGTGATTGTTAGATAGTGATTGTTAGATAGTGGTTGGTTAGATAGTGATTGTTAGATAGTAATTGTTAGATAGTGGAAGAAAATTAAAATCTGTTGCAGGTTGCGAGGTGCTGACTAGTTATAACTTTGTTATTTAAAATACATCCATGTATCACTGTGTTTCTTGATACGTACTTTTAACTACCATTTTGTAATCTGGAATCTTTTATCGATTGATATTTCACAGAACAAGTATGATCTTAATGTAAGCATGGTTATGGATGGAGCAAAGATTATTTACATCCCATTTCTGTCAAGTAACAAGAAACTCAAGGAAAGGTAATGGTTTTGTACAACATTATTTAGCGATCAGTCAAATGCGTTTCCTATCATTATTGAAAATCAACAGTTATGTTTTCACAGTAAAGAAATTGACGTGCATTTCTTGTGGATCACAAAATGCTTGCCTTCTCTAGGTCTTCTCCTATGCACAAACCTACTTTTTGAACGATTTGCGCTTCGTTTTGTGCAAACTTCTCCTGTTATTCTGCCTCTTCATCCTCCTTTTCTGCGTCCTCTTCTTCTTCTTCCTCTTCTTCTTTTGCCTCTTCACCTTTCTTTTCTTTGCCCTTTTTTCCGGCTCTTCTTCTGCCTCTTCTTCTTTCTCTTCTGCGTCCTCTTCGTCTTCTGCCTCTTCATCTTTTTTTCTTCCTCCTCTTCTTTTTATGGCTTTTCTTCCTCCTCTTCTTTTTATGGCTTTTCTTCCTCCTCTTCTTTTTCCGGCACTTCTTCTTCCTCTTCTTTTTCTGGCTCTTTTTCTTCCTCTTCTTTTTCTTGCTCTTTTTCTTCTTCCTCCTCTTCTTTTTCTGGCTCTTCTTCTTCATCTTCTTCTTCTGCCTCTTCACCTTTCTTTTCTTTGCCCTTTTTTCTGGCTCTTCTTCTGCCTCTTCTTCTTTCTCTTCTGCGTCCTCTTCGTCTTCTGCCTCTTCATCTTTTTTTCTGCGTCCTCTTTTTTTATGGCTTTTCTTCCTCCTCTTCTTTTTCTGGCTTTTCTTTCTCCTCTTCTTTTTATGGCTTTTCTTCCTCCTCTTCTTTTTCCGGCACTTCTTCTTCCTCTTCTTTTTCTTGCTAATTTTCTTCTTCCTCCTTTTCTTTTTCTGGCACTTCTTCTTCCTCCTCTTTTTTTTCTGGCTTTTCTTCCTCCTCTTCTTTTTCCGGCACTTCTTCTTCCTCTTCTTTTTCTGGCTCTTCTTCCTCCTCTTCTTTTTCTGGCTCTTCTTCTTCCTCTTCTTTTTCTGGCTCTTTTTCTTCCTCTTTTTTTTCTTGCTCTTATTCTTCTTCCTCCTCTTCTTTTTCTGGCTCTTCTTCTTCATCTTCTTCTTCTGCCTCTTCGCCTTTCTTTTCTTTGCCCTTTTTTCTGGCTCTTCTTCTGCCTCTTCTTCTTTCTCTTCTGCCTCGTCTTCGTCTTCTGCCTCCTCATCTTTTTTTCTGCGTCCTCTTTTTTATGTCTTTTCTTCCTCCTTTTCTTTTTCTGGCTCTTCTTCTTCCTCTTCTTTTTCTGGCTCTTCTTCTTCCTTTAGCTCTTTCTCTTCCTTTTCTACATTCCTTTCTTCTTCTTCTGCCTCTTTTTTTCTGCCTCTTCTGCTACTTTCTATTTTTCTCTTTCTTTGTGCCTTCTTTTTCATTCTTTCTTCTATTGCCGTTTCATATGACATTGGTTTGAATTGAAGGCCTGCTTTGTGAAATTATCAGAGGCCAGCTTTTGGATGATTTTGTATGGAATTCTTATGTTTTTGACGTCATTAGGCTTTTTTGGTTTTGGATAGAAACCCTTTTGAACAAAAAACAGCAAACTTATACCTGCTGTTATATGAAGATCATCACTTGCTTCAATTTACCATACATTATCATATGGAATTTCACCGCATTTTTAGTTCATATATCATTGATGGGTATGTCTACTCAATTCGTGAATCTAGTCAACCCTTTCCTTTACATCACTATTATTGCTAGTTTGTTTAAATCTTTCTTTTTCAAACTGTGCAATTAAAATTATATTATTGCACTGGGGTATTATTGAGGTTTCCAATTTTATTAATTTTTGTCTCTTATTCTGCAGAATGATCGATTTGTTAAACCCCGATACTGAAACAAAGTATTTCGATTTGACACTTGGCTTTGAAGCTGGAGCGGATGACTCTGAAGAATTACCCTGCCCTCCTGTGAGGTATTTCTTTAATTAAATGCATGGATTTAATCATTAATTTGCTGAAGCACAATTTTTATGAAGCTATATATAATTATATAGTAGTAACTTGTTAAATTTGTTAATTGTAGATAAATCACATCAAAATTTAGTTTTAAGGTTTTTTATATTTGAAAGTACAGTCTCTGATTAACGCCGAGGTACGAATGTTATATGATAGAAATAAAACAGAACATCAATTATAATTTGCCATCAATGGACTTTCCTCACTAAGAGTTAGAATCTTCGCTCATAAATCAGCCATTAATTTCTTTATGCGATTTTTTAAAGACTTTATCTATGGCGTTGGGTATTAGGATTGTACTTCGTCCAGACAACTTGTATGTTTAACCTTTTAACCGTCACATTCCTGTTCACACTGTTCTTAAATCGAACAAGCCTGCCCTTTCCTTTTGTGTTTGTTATCAATTTAATCATACGATAGCTAATTAGAAGAACATTGCTTGTTTTCTGAGATCCTCAAATGAAAGTGATTGTACTAATGTATAGCCTTATTGATCGACAACCTGGATTTTTGTATACTTGCAAAACACGTTTGAAATGGAACACTAAATGAAATTATATAAATGAAATAATAGTGATGTGAAGGAAAGGTTTGAAATGTTTCTAGTTTCCCTTTAAAAGCTTTAAAATCAAAGCTGTAAAATTACATAGTTAATAGGATATCCACACCCTCTGTAGATTATTTTCATTTCTAAGAAATCCACGCTTCTTCAAGTTGTTTAATTCGAACGGTCTGCTTCGAAGCTAAAGCGTCAAGGGAGAGTGGAATCGAGAGGCAAATCACTCTTGAAAATGGTGTACGAGATTTATAATCACTAGTGAGTAATTTGTGACTAAATCAATTTTGTGTGTGATTAATTTGATTTTTAGTGATAAAAGTGATTAATTTTTTTTATAAATTTTTTATTTTTTAGAAACTGAATCATAGATTCAGAAATGCTCTCAAATAATTTCATGTTCAATAAACGTCAACGATTTTGCAACATATGAAATTGAAAAATGAGACATTAAGGCAAATGCATGTGCTCTGTTGTGTGGGCCGTCAACTTTCGTCATAAGAATTTGAATTTGCATCAAAAGAGCTATCTTTTCTGAATATTAGTATTAGCAGTTGTTGAACACCTTGTGAAAGACATCAAGGCAAATGCATGTGCTCTGTTGTGTGGGCCGTCAACTTTCGTCATACGAATTTGAATTTGCATCAAAAAAGATATCTTTCCTGAACATCAGCATTAGCAAATGGGAGCAAACAGCCTTGAATGAAAAACAGTGATCAGTTCTTGAACACCTTGTGAAAAACATTAAGGCGAATGCAGGTTTCCTGTTCTGTAGGCTGCTTCTTTTGTCATAAGAAATTGAATATGCATCAAAAAGCTATCTTTCCTGAACAATAGCATTAGCAGTTGTTGAAGACCTTGTGAAAGACATTGCATGTGCTCTGTTCTCTGCCCTCGCAAGTGATGTCGCTATTGGGAAATTAAACTGTCATCCCTGAAACTTTCACCGATATAAAAAAATACAAGTTCAGGAAATGTGGAACTTGATTATCAAACTTTATCTGTGAAAATGACAATTCCCATAAATGTAACAGTTGCAACTGCGAAATCTGGAACTGTCTGGATCCGCCCATGTAGCAATGGGTGAAAAATAACTGCTATCAGGCGTGATTTTTGGTTAGATCAACTTCAGTGCCCTTCAGTGGCATATAGGCAACAAAAACAGCAATGATTGTCTCAGCGACCCCGGCATCATAACGAGGCATTCATTTTTGCTCCATTGCAGGGTACCACTGAGATCAGTGCAGGGTACTTGTAAAAGCTTGCTTTTCTCGAGCGTGTGTTTGCAGATTTTTCAACGTGTTCATAAAAAGATTGGAAAAGTGTGAAAGGGAAATTCTAAATATTGAATTTTTCAATAACATATGCGGATAAAAGTGGGCAAGGATTCTAATATTTGTTTTCAGTAACTTTTGTGATTAATGTTATACTTTGTGATTCATTTGATTTTTTATTAATGTGATTGATTTGTGATTAAAGTGTGATTATTCTTGAGAGCGTACATGATTTTAAGCAGTGATTTGCCCCTCGAGTAGAATTGTTGCGCCATTTCAAAGTAGGTGCATTGAGAAGTGATAGGTAAATAATCCAGACGCGCCTTGTGGTATAAATTGTTATTCAAGTTAAGTTAATTAATACGACTCAATTGTAAATAATTTGCATATTGATCACTTTTTATACCCCGTTAATGGGATGTCATAATAGAAACGTGTCTCACAGAAAAAGTCTGTTGTCACTGAATTTTTGTGTAAACTGTTTTGTATTTACGGCAGCGTGAAAGGTTTCAATGCGATTTTCAGTATCTGAAAGTGTTTTAAGCTTCATGCATTGGGCATGCTGGATACATTCACCTGGTTTCACTATTCGTTCCAATAAAACGTCAGATAAATGCGTTTTAACATGACATAGTTATTTCGGACTAGCATCTTATTAACAGAAAAGCTTGATCCTGTGCCCGTCTTTTCCTTCACGTCCCGTCAACGCGAGGGTCCAGTGATGCAAGTCCCTCTAAGAGCCACATTTGAAAGCCAATTGACACTGGACACAGATGATAAAGGACACTGGGCATGAGATGGCAACACAGTGCTTCATTGAGCAAGTGCAAGCATGCATTCCTGTGCCCGTGGTATGGAAAGACGGCAAGAATATTGCATCGCGGCTGCTCACACCTGATGAAAACAAGAAGGTTTTTGAGGCGCTTGGTAGCAGAAGGAAGGTATGTCACTCATATAGCGATTTAATATATGAATTTCTTCAGAATATTTCCGTTATTATTGGCTTCGTTTGGCATTTATGCAATATTAGAACTATAGGAAATTATGTATGATTTACTTAGATGTTTATTAGTGATACAAGCACCATTACAGGTAGTCACGTGTTTTTATCCATTGAATCATTTCCGCAAGTGTTAATTATTTCCTTGCCTTTCCGAAAGTCTTGATTTCAGAGCTTTAGGTATTTTAATCCAATCAATAATTGCATATAAATATTAATTTGAAAATATGTGCTAAGCTTGCCCCTAGGCCCTCGCAACAACAGTTGCACAAATGTGGTATGCCTACCCTAAAGATTCGCGCACGTGGACTTGTAAACTGGCTGGTGTGCTGTGTTTTGTCAAAGATTTCACAGTCAAGTCTCATTTTCTCAGGATGCTCATTATAAAAAATGCGAGACAGGTATGCCTGCTTACCGTAATTCAACATTAGGACAGAAAATACTTCTGTAAATGCTGACATTGCACGTTGATACATCTTTATAATTTTCTAATCGTTGATATGTTTTTAATTTCTATCCCTTGGAATCTTTTTCTCAGCATTCATATTTAGAAAAGGATGTATAAATTATTCCAGTTGCTGTTATCATGTTTCCTGAAAATGTCAGCTGGAAAATAAGGGATAAGCGCAAGGGGTACTTAGCGTTACATGTTTATTAACTTAGTGCCATGTAGATCAGAAAAATAAGTCTTAATGGTGACATTGCCTCACTATACAATATATTTGTAAACTTTAATCCTTACATTGATCAAGACATACAGGAGGTACCAAGAAACAAATTGTTTCCATCTATAGCAATTAAGGCCTAGCATTTCTGAATTTTCACAGTAGTCTAATTTTGAGAGAGAACTAACAACGTGTTTATTGAACAGTAGATTACTTTCCCCTGGCTCAAAAAAGTAGAATATGACAATGTTCGTAACTCTTATGTTATATAGTCTATTCCTTTCTGGAAACTTTGCACTAAAATAATCTTTCTCGGTCAACACGATGCGTAAATGATTCAAATTGCACCTCCCGTGATTATAAGTGCTAGCTAGGAAATAGTGAAATGAATTTATTCCATTGTTGTTAATAAAATCTGAGAACTTTGACACTAGCCGAACATTGTCTTAGTTTGTTTAAGATAACTTTCTGCATTCTTTAAGGAAGCTGTAGTTGTTTGGGAGCAAGAAGTTTACAAGCAATTTCAATATAGCCCGATATCAGAGTGGTTTCATACCTTTGAGGGAGATGTAAGTAAAATGCTACTCACTTAAAAACCTTTCCTATTCACTTTATTCTAAACACTAGCTGGGGGTCAATTTGACAGGCTGCTAGTCTAATTGATTTTGCTATTTCTGGGTAGATCCTCTCATTTTGGCTTTTCTCTTTGTTTCTTAGTCGGCCACTAATAATTATGCGACACGTATTTTTAGCATGCAATTTAATATTTGCATGAATCAATGCCATTTGTTATTTTCAGAAGACAGTATACACTTGGCTAGCTTACTTATAACCACAATTTAACATTAGCCCGATCTAATTCGATTGTCACTTCTCTGCTGTTTCCACTTTCATACTCTTTCCATCTCAGTGTCTTTACCATTTATTTTTTGACCAGCATTGCAACATTGGCTTGAATTTCTGTGACACAGAAGAAGCTTCGTACTTTTGCAAAGCTGTTAGACAGCGAATAGCATTTTTTCGCGGAAGACGAGCGGGTAAGTAGTGTATGAACCTATCCCACTCTTGCTGGTCGAATTTCAAGACTTTACCTACAATCCCGGACAAAATTGTTGAGACAAAATGCAATTTCTGCAATTTTCTACTTTATGTCGCCCCTATAAATTCGAATCCCCCTCTTTCCCCCCGAATCAATGTTGGATTTGTAGTTCTATCATTTCTCCTTCAAAACCATGCATTCAACGTTGAATTGGTGGAGGGGGGAAAGTTATTTTTGAAAGGAAGGTGAAATGTAAGCTTTCCTTGAAAAGTCTCAACCATTTTTGTCCGAGATTGTAGTTGTCTCAACCAATTCTATCCTTGACAATGTCCATCCTCATGGATTAACCTTGAGCAACACTGTATAGCTCAAGGTATGACAAGATTGATGTTTGACACTAGTTAACAGCGTGGGTATTTGGAAACCGGGAAAGAATTGTTTGCCAATGATTTATTTTGGTTAGTAGTGTTTTACTGAATATATTTTTCGTATACTTGTAATTAATGTAAATATGAAAAAGTATGAAAGGAAGAACAAGGCGCCTAGGATCGAAAGGTTGAAGTCTTGTATCCACATCTGGGTTGTGATTTAAAAGTAGGCTTAGAAGATTATTAAGGAAGCCGCCTAATTTAAGTGTTCAGACGAATGAGATGCTTGTCTGTGAGATGATGAAATCCTTGAATAATGTACAAATCCAAGAATTGGAGTTGGGCAAGGCAAGGGGGCGTAGGAGGGCCTTGAGTTGCAAATTGTAAGACCATTCTTTCTGCCTCGCCCAAAGAACATTGTTTATTGCCTTGCCATGCTGTCCACTGAAATGTGGTAAACCCCCTTAGAGAACTTACGAGGTAGATAAATTGCATCAATCGGTTGGTCACTCACGTTCTATTTAGCTTTTTCCTGCAACCTTTACCTTTTATAAGGGTGGGGGCCCCTCCATTAAGCCCAACATTGCTCGTAGTAAAGTATTTGAGAAATTGTTTGCTATTTTTAATTTCAAGTTTGTAAGTATTTCTCGTTGTAGCCATCAAAGCAAGGAAAGAGAAGCAGAAGCAGGCATTAATTGGTGCTCCTGGCGCTTCTGAAGTCATATCGAATGTGAAAGCAACGCACAATGTCAAACGCATTAGGCCAAACTTAGAGGAAAGGAACCATGGGTATCTTGAACTTCTTTTCTTAGGATCATCTATTGTATATACATATATTCCAGAAAGCAACTCTTTGATGCATTTTATCTAAACCCAAAACTTATACATCATTTTAGACTTGGCAAAATGTTTGTTTTCTTTCAAGCAAAATTGCCGAGACGGATCTTGGAAGTATAAATCCGAGTCAAGCTGTAGGCAAGGTAAAGGAAGAGGATAGAAGTAACATTGTTCTTATCCGGTTTGAAAGTGACGAAGATAGCAAACAAGAAAGCAAAGATACTCACCGAGCCGGGCAGTTCAATCAAGGCCCAGCTTCAAAGTATAGTACTCTTGCAAAAGATAACAATAATGTTGGCACAAAACCACCCGATCAAGGACACTACGAGAATAGTCAGCTGATTGATACCAAGTCATATGTGACGTCATCAACGCCTCGTAGACTTCAGTTTCAGCGTGATGAAAATAAAACAGCATTGAAAATAGCAGAGAGACAGAGGGAGTATCATTCATCGATGATTCGATTGCTGGTTTCGTCAAGAGACCCCAAAGTACAACAGGCTGAGTTTTTAAAGTTGACCAACGGTGGAAACAATAGTAAACATTCAACAAAAAATATTGATTTTAGTGCGAGCAAACACAACACTGCAGAAGAAGATTCTGGGTTAAGTCATAAAGACCATTGCCCAAGACTGGCACCAGCAACTAGTATTATCAATGGCCCTTCCAATATCTGCGTAACGAAATCAAAAACCACAACAGATACTTCTAATAATATATTCCTTGGATTAAGGCCTAACAATGACAGTGAAGTATCAGGTCCTTCAAGAACCAGCGTCAAAAGCTTTGCAACCGAAAGCCAGCTTAGAAAAACTGCAAGTACTCTAAGCACAGTCCCAGTCAAATCATCAAACGTTTTCTCTAAATCAAGAAAGAATATTTTTTCTGATGATTCAAGCTTCTCATTCCCGTCTTTGCCATCTCTTGATAAACTGCAGTTCACAGCTTCTGTCCAACTAACAGCTCGATCTGACGATGCTGACTCTAGAGATCATTTATCAACTACATACTCTGTAGGCATTGGAGCGAATCTAGAAACAGACAATGATGCAGCTGGTGAAGAACGGTCTGCACTTAGCCAGGGAAAAGGTCCTTCCAATGTTATTAATGCAAGCGGGGTATGTTGTATATATTCCTATTTTTAAACAAGACTGTTTTGCTAAGATAGACCTGTTGGTTAAAGGCCAATTACCAATTTTTCGAGCAAAGCTGGCAGGTACTTCTTTTCCCACTGACCTCTTTCGGTTTACTTCTAAAATCTTTGATGGGTGATGGCTGACGTCATTGCTATCAATAAAAGCATTAGATATCGATTGGAGGTTGTAGTGACACCTTTCACTAATACATGCTATCGAGCTTTTGTTTTTGTATTTGTCTCAAAAGCTGTGGCTGTGGTTGTTAATAGTTAACTAAGTTACATGCTTAGCACAATTCATTGCTTCCTGTTATGATAGTTTTTTAAAGAGAATCTGTGAAAGAGATTCAAGAATTATTGTGAACATCGGATATTTTGGAAACCTTTTAAGGGGACATGGGAACAAAGACTCTGGGACCTCATTATTCATCGAAAATGATTGATAATGACTTTGAAAAAAGCAAATATTTCACAACATACAATATATAAAATATTTCATGTTGTGAAATTATTTTTTTTTTAAAAGACATTTTCAAGTTTGGTACCTCCAAAAAATTGTTCAAATGCTTGATGAAAAAATCTCACAAAAATTGATTTACTGACTTTTGGTAAATAATTGCCACATATTTCCAAGCTTTACTCTTGGAAATTAATTTATTCTTGAATTGACTTTGTTTGCAGAAACGCAATTCAGAAGGCAATAATAATGTGACTGACCCACGTGCAGAATTGCTAAAGAGCATTATTGCAGGAAAAAAACTGAGAAAAGTATGCAAATTTATTCTGTCTATAAAAGTAGCTGAAACTGAAGTTGATTATCAATTTTGTCAGCTACTGTCACCTACATCATCTATACTACAATTTACAAACATATCAGTTAATAAGAAAATCATCTGTTTGGAATTCGACAAAAACAACAGCTGAACTTCTTTTTTCTTTGTTTTGCATAAAGGTTCAGCTTTGTCAAGTATCTGCATATTCTTGCAGAAATATAGGAATGTATAGTATGTCTCATGTTTCTTTCTAGGTTAACACAGACACAGTAAGTGTCAGAAGACAAACAGTATTTGAAAAGCACTTTGAAGAAATGGCAGATACCTTAACAAAAGTGCTTACAGAGAGAGGCAGAGTTTTTCAGGATTCTTCAGGTCTACTTTTCAATGGTTAAAATATTCAATGTATTTAGAGTCTTTTTATTTGTGTATTCCTTTACAGTGTATTCCTTTTTATTTGTTTCTTGGTTTTTTAAGTCTCAATTAATTGAACATGACTTAACAGAAGATATTTTAATATCTGAACAAAGGAACAAAGTCTTGAATATCTGAATCATTTTCTCTTTGATTGATTCTCAAAGGCAAAATTGATCAAAAGAAATTTGAGTTAGTTTAATTAGATAAAAATTCAAACTGAGACATAAGCAATGCTGGATTTGGAAAAACTTTGATTCTTATTGATTGTTTGTTTTTTTTCATGGGCTCCAAAATTTAGTTATTTCTGAAAACTTTCTCTATTAAAACAATGCTTATTGAGTAAGGATTTTATATGATGTTTCTCTGATAAATTGTATTAATAAAAATTGCAAAGTAACAGTTTTTTAGTTTTGTTGATTTATTACAGATGAAGAAGATGTCTATGATGATGAAGAATGGGAAGATGACGAGACAGACAACTGAATCAATATGATTGTAAAAAGTGCTGAAAAAGCTCCTGTTACAATTTATGGCTACCTGTATGGTATGTAGATAGATGGAAGATGAGCTGAAGCAGAATCCATTCCTTAGAAGGAGTAAAATTTTTGGAAGAATAATGATAAGGCTTCAGATTATGACACAAACTTAGTATCTTCTGGAAATAATTCTTATTTCATATAATCAGTTATAACAATGTTTAGGAAGCAAACCAGAGTCTATAAAAATTCAACCATCAAATGAAAGTGTTAATTTTCAAAATTAATTTTTTCCTGAAATTCTGAATATTTGCTTCAAATTAAATTCATTATTACAAAATGAATGCAATGAAAAAACAAACGAGGGACTAGTGACATGCAATAACATGTTGCAAAACCAGAAATCTTCCTCAATCTTTTATTCAGTCCTTCTTGTCAATTTTCTTCATAAAAACCATCCAAGGACCCTTGTAAAACCACATCCAAGAGCTGTTTCTCTTCCTCAATTTCTGCAAAACAGCAAGAGCTTTCTTACAGTTGGAAAAGAATGACTTCAAAGCTCTCTAAATTAAATTTTGGAACTAGGTGTTGTAATTATATTTCCTGGAGGAGTGAGTATATGGCTGCTGATTAGTCTGCAGTTTGTGGTCAATGGTTTGAAAATATGCACAACGAATGGAATTACATGTCACATGCTTTGTCAATATGTTTAACAGAAAATGAATTATACCTTGAGGTGACAGTTCCAAAAACAGATTTTTATCAAAGAAAATCACAGGCTGATGGTTGCTCACAGGTCTAAAAGAAGAAAGATTATTGGTGTAAGTCTTACTCGAAGTTGTTACTGACATTGTTCTCAAGCAACGAAGATGCTCAAATTAAACTTCTGTACTCATTACTGTATCTACAAGATATGTGAAAATCACTTGTTCATTCAGAAAAGCTGTATCACCTTTAGAAGTGTAATGATATTTCCAAGCCTATGGATCACCATTTTTTATATGGATCAATTTGAGTTAATAAAAATCTAACAAACATTGTAATTTACTTGCAAAAAATTGGCACTATTTTAACAAGTAAATGAAATGTTTATGGCAAAAAATTCAAGTTCTTGATGCAATTTTAGTCAAAAACACATAGTTCACCTTTGTGGCTCTAATTCACCATCAATGGAATCACTGTCCCTGCAATAATAATTGAAATGATTTGATAAAACGCATTCTTATATAAAAAAGACCATGAGGTAAGCCTCTTCTCTTAAGGACTTCTTTGGATCATCTAATGGATGTATTCCTTTGAAATAATAATTAAAATCAACCTCTTGAGTATCATTTCTTCATTAGGTTTTATTGACCTGTACGAAGAAACTTTATACAAAACATTGTCATGGACAACTCAATCATATTCCATATCGAGAGACTAAAAGGTTTAGGGTTAGGGAAACATGCTAAAAGCCAAGAGAAATATAATTTTTGACTGGGTTTTTAGTATGTCTTTTGAAATCTATAGACTTCCATTGCCACTTTCCACTCCCTCACCCTTCTGGACTCATCTTAGAAATTTTATCACTTCTAGCTCTTGGCTATTTCATCAAAATTTACTTACTCCATGCTTTTGGTCTGCTGTGTCAAAGGACCAACTTCAAAAAAATTGTAAACTTCAACTGGTAACTCTTCATAGCCCTCATGTATAACAGCTTGTAGGTAGTTTTCTAAACCCTGTCTTCTTGACTCTAGAAATTTATGATCTTTGCTTAGTGCCATTCTTGTTGGAAAGTCTGCTCGTAATGTCATTGTTTTTTGCATCTAGAATGAAGTGTTACATAATCACAGACTAACATAACATAGCTGTATCTACTGATGAAGGTGATATGTCTTTAATTTTAACATGATTAGCACAACATTTGAAATTGAGAGAAGGAGCAGTAAGGAAATGGGAGAAAGGTAATCAACTTGTAACAAAGACTTACCCTTTTGTGCAGCTCCAGGATTTCGCTATATCTTTTCTCAAGTGATTTAATGGTTCCATTATACACAATTTGGATTTGATAAGCCTGTCGGAATTGAATTAGAAATATTTGAAAGTTTATAAGAAAAAGAAAAAAAAAGAATTGTACCTAAGAAAGAAGAAATAGAATTTTTGATTTTGAAGATACATTCTTGAAAGGTGATTGACAAGCGAGAATGGCTATCAACTCACATACCGTATATTTTTTATCGCGTTCCTGATCGACTACTTGGCGGAAGCTTGGTACACTGAGGACTCGTAATCTCCCGTACATTTTGGTATTGGCAACGCTTTTACTGTTTAGCACAGTATTCTGAGACAAACTATCCGTAGAAGTACATAATTGCAGTTTTTACTCGCTCCGTTTTGTCCGTCTAATGGTCGTGTCTCACAAACACTCAAGTCTCCTTTCAAGCCTTGCAGCTGAAATTTTATTTATGTCCATCCGCCATTTTTGCAAATTGAGAGCTTCAGTGGTTCTAGGAATTACCTTTAAACGGGGGTATTCAATTTGTTTTTCTGTTGGAATTAAGGAAATTATGTTCGCTCCTACGATATATATATTTTATATCGTTGCTAAAAAATGATTATATTAAACTAAAACAAAGTTTATTTAATAATTATAAAACTAAATGTATCTAGAGCTCTTGAATTTTGCAAAAGTTTGTTGAGTTATCAGAACACAATAGCTTAAAGTAGCCCCCGGAAGACTGGACAGCCTCGTATACAGAGCGAGACTTCTCGTGTGCACTGTCAGGAGAAAATTCGAGAGAAAACCATTGATGAAGAACCTTGCATAACCTCATCAGGGGAGGAGTTCGTTAAAATGTCGTTTCTAAGTAAAAGATTGGTGATTGGTGCGAGAAAGTCACTTCATAAATTCCCACATAGCCAATTTCATGGAGCACAGAAGCTTTGCACAGCCCCTGCAGTCCCCAAAACCATTGCTGACATTGGCTTGATTCAAAAGAGGATGATGCAACATCGATACAATCAGCTTACAACTGCAGTAATCAGATCGTGTTCAACCCAATTTGGAATTAGTGGAAGGTTTGATAGAAATCTAATGTTTTCTCCATTTACCACTTCATATGGTTTCTTTAGTCGTTTAGGCTTGCTGCTTTAATGACATCGCTAGAGGGGAAACAATATTGGTTCTGCACATGCTCTGGTGGTGGGATTAATCTGAGGAACGTTTTGAAATTGATTAAGAATTCAATTTCAGAAGGTGTCTGTTTTTATATGGGCAATAACTGATTTGAAAGAAAAAACTGACTGTATTGTTTCATGATTGTTGTCTGTTAGCAGAAAATACAAAATAGTAATATCAATTGGCAAAAAATAACGTCGTGAATGAAATGTCAACATTCCTTTTAAATCCACTTTTATGAAACAGTACCTGAAAAATTGTTTTAAGATAGGTGGTGCAATCAGCCTGGGAATCTAGATTCATTTGACCAAGGAGGGGCTTTTTGGCTTCTAAGAGGGGGTCTGGAGGGCCACTGGCCAAAGTGTCTTGACTTTCTTCACTGGTGGGAAAAATTCATTTAGGTTTTCTTGTATTTAAAAATTCAAATAACATAGCACTGGAAGATGGGACAAAGAAGGGGTGTTTCTCCAATCTATTCAAAGAATGTCCTTTTAGCTGGTCTTAATTGAATGAACAAGGATCAGGGATAGAGGACTCATTTCAAATAGGGAATCTGATAAGTCAATGTTTGTTCAAAATTGTTGTTTTTGATTCCATAACCAGCATTGAATTGGCCTGTAAACCAGGATAATACCAAGTACTCCTAGTCCTTTGAAAAATTAAGAAAGATATGAGATGTTGACTGGATGTGAGAGATATCTTGCTGATGCAATTGCAATTGATGATGTGATCACATATCCTTTTAATGTTTGACATTTTTTGTGCCCTAGGAGGGAGCAAGCATAATATTCTATGCTACCACAATTTCCTTGTCATCCACACATCCCTGTGCAATGTAAAGTCACTTGCAGTTATTTGAACATGTCAAATTATATCCCACACATCTGTGGTTGTGTGAAATTAATAATTATTCATTATTTCTAGTTTTAGGCAATTCTTCAAATGTGCAACCTTTGTCTTTTGCATAGATGTAACAACCACAAATAGATGTACTTAATTTTCAAACGAGGTTCCCAAATTTAGGTGAAACCTTAAGCCTTGTGATTCCTAAAATTATCCTCATCTTTGTAAGGGCCTCCAGGTTTGAATAATTTTCTTGCAGATATTTGAACTATTTTAAAAATTCCATAAGAAAAAGAACTCTTCCATGCCTCGAGACTTCTGTACCAGAAACCAGCTTTGGCACACTTCTTTTTGCCCCTTCATCACAGCGCCCTCATATTCAGTCCTATTCTTTCCTTGGTCCCAGTCTGATCCAGTCAATTATATTATCATCTGAAATTAAATTTTCTATGAGTTTTTCTTTGATTTTTGAAAATAGTGAATATGAAAGTATTTTTCTTCTTCTGAAAATTCCCGACTGACTAAGGATTTGTGTACACAATGGACATTATGCTGCTATCATATTTTACATAACCATTGTAACAGTGTTATTTAAATTTATTTACAGACCTGTCCCAACTGAATGTTATCCAAGACAAGGCAGGGATGGCAAACAAGGAAGTAGCAAAAGGTTTGTTATTGGTTTGATTGATTATTATTCATGTATAGCTTGTAAAATTAGTTGCATCAAAGATGAACTCTAATGTTGCTTTTCAGAGTTTGCTATAGGAGGCCCATTATCAAATTTATAGAGGCCCATTTTTTGTACAGAGAGTGAGAGGAAAATATATGTTTTTTCTGATGTCTTTTTTGCATTAGTTCACATGTAAGTTGGGGTTTTGAAAATGTTTTCAAAGAGGATATTTACAAAAATTTGAATTTTGAAATTTCAGTAGATCAATATAAATGCGTAATAGCAGTGGTCAGAAAACATTGGAACAGATTAAAAAATGCTTTGCTGTTGACTGTTTAAACCAATGAAAATTAAGAACATTTTTACTCTGTTTTTATGGAATTGTGAACAGATGAAAACATATATTCTGGATATCCACAAAACAGAAGAAGTGTGCAAAAGAGCAGTTTGAGTTTGGCCCTAAGACTGATGTCTTGCAGAGAATAATCAGCAACCTATTAGAAGGAAACATGAAAGCTTTAAGAAGCCAAATGAAATATTGGGAAAGCTTTTCTTGGTGTTAATGTATGTCTCAGGCTCAACTTGTTTTTATAGAAGTAGAAATTTGCAAAACTTGATGGTGCTCATTGTTTTTTACTTTTGCGACAGTGGACCAAATGAGAATAATCAAAGCAGTAATGGAGACAGAGGCGACAATGGAGGCAAGAAGGATCCGGAGGTTATAATTGATGGATCTTCAAATGACAATCCAAATATCAGCAATACAGCACTAGCCCAAATAGGAGTTCCGGATAACTTTCCTGAGGTTCCAATCCTACCAGTGCTGCGGAATCCAATCTTCCCCAAATTTGTGAAACTAATCGAGGTTAGAATTTTCCCTTTATCTAATGGTATTCTGTACTTACTAAATTTATATGCAAAGAAAAGTGTGTGTTGTTTAGTCAAATCATGAATATTTTCATGTTGTATTCTTCACATTGTCATTGGAAATGTCCCCCACAGATTCAATTTTTGTCAGTTTCCTCATATTTCTATGCCTATAGTCTCCTTTTCTTTCCTTTTTTGGAAGGTTTCAGACAAGTCACTTATAGATCTAATAAGAAGAAAATGTAAGCTAATGCAGCCCTATGCTGGTGCTTTCCTCAGAAAAGATGACAAGTATGTGTCTGATCTTTTTTTTAAAAATATTTCATTGTATTCCGTTTCTTTTGTTTGTCAAGTCCCAAATCATTTAAATAAACATTTGGTGCAATGTTTTTTAGAAACCATTTACCAAGACCATTTATGCTGGGGATTGTTGACTTCATTGTTACATCTGTGAACTTAGGCTAATTTCATTGTTACATCTGTTTGACTCAATGTGTAGTAAAAGTATAAACTTGTCTGTTTATGAGAAGCACGAGTTAGCACAAGTTACTTTTTTCACTGATCAATTTTAGGATATATGTATTTAAGCACAATTAGTGTCAATATACCTTTTAGCTGTACATATCATTTGATGTACTTAAACTTTTATGTTTCTTTTAAGGGAAACTGAAACAATTGAAAGTCTTGATGAGATATACAATACTGGGACTTTTGTGCAAGTTCAAGAGCTGCATGACACAGGGGATAAGTTGAGAATGATTATTGCAGGCCACAGAAGGTAGGGGTGCTCACCAGTTATGGTTTTTGTCACATAAAGCGAATTGAATGATCTCAAGTATCTATCTTTCATGTAAAATTGAGAATTCACGTACTTCATGTTTGAGTGTTTGAGAGGCTAAAGAACAAAAATAATGTGGCACATCCAATCAAGAAGTAAAGCAGAGAAGAGGAAATAAGGAAAAATGGTTTATAATGAATGATGAAAGAAACTGAACTTAATGAGACAGTTAATGATGCTATATTTGAATAGTGACAGTATTTGGTAGCAAGGAAAAACTTTTAGGGTGGGTTGACTATAATTTATACATTAGTTTCTTGGATTCATTTATGTGTTCTTGTTGGAATAAAGCCTGTTTTAATTTACAAAGAATAAAGATAACAGAGGCGATCGAAGAGGGCGGAATCTCTGCCCTTGTAACTGATGAGACAGATGATGGCCAAAAGTCAGCAACGCTTGGAGAAGACGCGAATAAAGAGGAATTTCTAGAAGAAAAGGAAGAGCATCTGAGTACTGCTGAAGTCATTCAGGAGGACGTTGATGAAATTGTCAATGAAGGAGGGAAGAAGCCTATCTTAATGGCTAAAATTGAAAATGTTTATCATGAACCGTTTCAGATGACCCAGGAAGTGAAGGTTTTATAAATTACCAGTTTTGGTTTTTATTTGATTCACGAATGCTATCGTAATTTTTCAGATTTAGTTTTGTGCAATTTTATTACAGACTTATCTAATTTCCCTATAGCCTTATTGGCCTTTTCAGTGTTGGCATAAGCTCTTGTTATGTAATTTATGTTTTACCTATAGAAACGCTAAAATTGCAGTAAATATTCATAGGATTTCAATTGTAATAAAACTGCTGTTTGTCCTATAGCGCTCGATTCCGTATAGGCAGTGCTGGACTTGCTTAAGGATCGTATTAAGCATGAACCTCAGAGTTGCAACTTAGAACCGTCCTTCTCTTTCATAGGCTACTGCTGCTGAAGTCATCAAGACAATAAGAGATATCATTGCCCTAAATCCGTTGTATAAAGAGTCGCTGGCTCAACTAATTGAGGCAGGAAAAAGGGTTGTTGACAACCCAACGCATTTAGCAGATTTTGGTTAGTGGATTTTTTGTAAATTGAATTCTAACTGTTTTTTACTATCTGCTCAATCCACCCAAAGTTTCTCATGTAGTTTTTTCGATGTCAAGCCAGGTAAAGAATCATTTTTTTAAACTTCAAGTATTGCATGTATGCAAAAGAAACGTTTCAAAGTAAGACTGATGCATCTCATATTTATTTGTGTAAGCTTATGGGGTGAAAGTGGGCGTTGCGGCTTCACAAGATGTCGGATAACAAAATGCCATACACAGGAAAATGTTTTAGAACCCCCCAAAACTCAGAACTCCAAGAATTTTTCATTTTGCGCTTGTGCACATATGTGCCAGTATGGTTTCTCTCAGACTTAGCGAATTTGTTATGTCATTGTTAAGATCTAGCCGTTCTCTTTACCACGGTTAACTGCAGTCAATCACTCTCCCGTTTTTTCTACATTTCAAGCTCGATATTTTGAAGTCATGTCATATATGCCCTTCTCTTAACAGTATTTTTTTGTTTTATTAAAAGGTGCCGCCCTTACCAGTGCTGACCCTGCGCAGCTACAGGCCGTCCTGGAGGAGACTAATATACCAAACAGACTGATGCTTACTTTAGAGCTACTGAAGAAGGAACTTGCAATATGCATGCTTCAACAAAAACTTGGCAAAGAGGTTGGTATTTTTTGTATAAGCTGCTTAACTAATATTGCCATGCGAATACAAATTATAGAGGAATGCAAATCGATGTTTTCTCATGTCCTTATGACCTTCCTTGCAGTTTCTTGATTAATATGGCTCAATTATGGACAAATCTTTGTCAATTCGTTCAAAGATTTTTTTATTTTGTCAAATGACTTTGAAAAATCAAAACTTCAACGTTTTTTCTCTCATTGCTATTACTTTATTAGGTTGAAGAAAAGGTTAACAAAATGCAAAGAAAGTATCTTCTACAAGAACAATTGAAAATAATTAAGAAGGAATTGGGTTTAGAAAAGGACGACAAGGACACTGTTATTGAAAAGTTCAAAGAAAGGCTGAAGGAGAAAGATGTTCCAAAGTCTGTGCAAGATGTCATTGACGAAGAAATGAACAAAATCCAGTTTCTTGACAATCATTCATCAGAATTCAGGTAAAGTTGTCTCGTTTTGTCTTGTCACATACTTATTATGTATTAACTGACTGTGTATTTTTTAAAAAAGGAACGTTGCATGTGATACTTCATCCAGAATAACGATAATATAGTTAGCAAATAAATTGAGTACCAGAATGAAAATTAAATATTTTGATTGTTAAAAACACGAAGTTTCGAGCATGTACTCACTATATTATTTGCTAACTATCTTATGTGTGTTTTTCATTCGCGCCATCAGTGTTTCTTTGATAAGATGGAGCAATCTTGACAGGGGATCTTCTGAAAACTGAAAAGCTACTGTCAGTGAATTGGGCAAACGAACATCTACATGAACGAAAACCGGGTTACAGTAATGCATATACTGTTTTCAGTAAGGTCACTTTTAACATTGTTTTCGGTTTCATCTGTGGCATTTAAAGTTGCACCAGGATGAGATCATCGCAGTAATCACCAACTGAACGGTCTGTTTCGAATTCAATATCTGGTGAAACGTTGGAATTTTTGTCTGGTTTTGTAACTAGGTTATTACCCTTGTTGTAGTGGTGCTGTATTTTCGTACAGATTAGTTTGGTCACTCAAGTTGATTTTGCGTTTCTTTAGTGTTAGCCGAAACTATTTGGATTGGCTGACGTGCATTCCGTGGGGGACTCACAGTGAAGAGAATTTTGATATAAAAAAAGCAAAGGAAATTCTTGACGAGGATCATTATGGCCTTGAAGACATTAAAGATCGAATCCTTGTAAGTTGTCATTCGCCAGCTGACGTTTATTCAGCCAAATAACTCGCCTAATTTGCTATTCAGCCAAGTAACTCTTCTAATTTGCTATTCAGCCAAGTAACTCGCCTATTTTGCACAATATGAATTATTCTCATTACTAGAATCGGCAATTATGGAATCGCCAATTACTGTTAGTTCAAACCCTACAATGTTTGTTTTTAGGCCTCCTCCAGAGAAGAAATGGATCATGCTTTTTATTGCTTTAATTGCTAGATCTTGTTCAGATGCTGCACATTTTAATAAAATTTACTTTTTATTTGGTCAACTGTTTCAAACTGTTGAGTGATTTTTAAATCAATAACAATTTAGTTTGCAGCTTGTTCTTTCAAATATTAATTAAAAGAAATATAAAAAACAAGCAATGTTGATACATAATCTAAATTTTCATTGTGCATGTGACACAGAATTGCCTTTAAATTTCCTATGCATTTTCTTGAAGGAATTCATTGCTGTTGGCCAGCTTAGTGGATCCGTCCAAGGAAAGATATTGTGCTTTACTGGCCCACCAGGTTTGTCTCAAGACTCTCTATTACGTTATTTTGAGTTTTTCAATAAAGAGAGCTTTACTTTTAAGGGGTGTTTGCACGTGAAATATTTTATATTATGGAATTTTCTAGGGGCGTGGCAACTAGTAAATACCTGTGTAGAAAGTAGTTTAACAGTTGCCCGATGGTCGCATTGATTATGGATTTGCAACTTAGTGCCATCCTTTCTACATACCACACATTTTCAATCTCTGAAGAGACGTTCTCAATCACTATATAATAACCAGTGAACCATATGCGTCATTGCTTTTAGAGCACATTTTTCAGAAGCTCTTCTAGTTTATTTAACATTTTACAACGATGACTTGCATTTTTTGCAGACAATGCCCATACCCAATCGTTGACATGAAAAGGAAAAATATTTTTGTTTGCCTTTTTTATCAAAAAATGTTTTTATTATACCAGGTGTTGGTAAAACAAGCATTGCGCGGTCCATTGCAAGAGCTCTAAACAGAGAGGTAAGTGGATTTAGACCCCGTTTACACTGTGCCGGATAAAATTTATCCGTATAAAACTTGTTCGGATTGATTTGCGTTTACACTGTGCCGCACAAATTTAGTCCACTTTGCCCTCCCGTTTTCACTGTGCCGGATAACTGCAGTCACATGACCTAAACCATTCACAGAATGCCCAAAATGAAGTCTTTTTTGGGCAACACAATAATAACAAAATTCCCACCAACGTAAAAAGACTTCACTCTCTCTTCAGAATCATCTGCTTCTCTTTTAGACCAAATCCAAAGATATTGTCAATGCAAATTAGGCATAGTTTGTTTTAATAGTTTGTTCATGAAACAGAATGACACTGAACTAGCAACGAAAGTAGGGAAAGCTGACAAGGATGCCAATTTTACGTCGACTGGCAAGATACTGCACTTTTAACACGAGTATTTATCGACAACAAGGCAGCCAAGATGGCGAAAGGTCTTGATTGGGAGACAGTGAAAACTAAATTGAATGAAATAGCCAATCGCTTTCGAGCAAGATACGATGTGGATAAAATTTATCCGGATAAAAGCGTTTACACTATACCACGTAGCTATCCGAACTAATTTAATCCAATTTCCTTGGTGAAATAATTTTGTTCGGATAGCCGCTCTGAAATTCGTGCGGATAGCGTGGGTCTAGTGTAAACGCGACGCCTATCTGAACTAATTTTGATGCGGATAAAATTTATCCGGCACAGTGTAAACGGGGTCTTACAACAGTGGCGGAAATTCAGGCTTTCATTTGGGGGCCCAGGCCTACGATTTTCCGACAAGATAACATCTTGGATCATGTCTAATTTCAAAGAAACTGCAAATTTTGATAAAATAGATGATTTTTTGACGGGACCCTTTAGAAATCTTTGAAATCGTTTCTGTTCAGTATTTTAGATTCAGTGTTGGTGGCATGACGGATGTTGCAGAGATCAAGGGCCATCGACGAACGTACGTTGGTGCAATGCCAGGAAAGATTATCCAGTGCTTGAAGAAAACCAAAACACAAAACCCCTTGATTCTTATCGATGAGGTAAAGAAATTCCTTTTAAGATTGTAAACACATTGAAAAGCCCTTTAAGAGGTTTTGGTCCTAAAGATCTTGATACATACGACTTATGTTCTTTTTGTCAAAAGGTTTGTTTCACCTTCTGAGCCTTCCGGGTCGTAGCCTGTAGATTAAGAAAATATTTAAATTTAAAGTGAATCAGAAAATCGATTCCAAGGCAAATGGACAGGTTTATTGTTGAAAATTACATGCATCTGCATTGAAAAACCTGATGCTTTTGAGTTAGGGAATATCTTGTAGAAGTAAAAGAAATTCTCTCGCACATATAGTGAATTTATACAAGAAACTCCATATTCTGTTCTGTGTACTCAGCTATTGATGAAGTATTTATCGTTAAAGATGCACCAAGATGTCTTACTATGAACGATGATAAGTGAAGTGTGAGCGCAGTGTAATAGTTGTGTAGGTTTTCTTTAAAGTTTATGTTACTGCAACCAACAGTGTAGCTTTAAGCTTCAGTCCCCGTGGCCGAGGCTGGCTAAAGACTTTTTATACAATAGTGATTTTTTGTTTTTTCAAAATGCTTTTGTACTTTGATGCTGTTTAGGTGGATAAAATCGGCCGTGGGATTCAGGGCGACCCGGCTTCTGCATTACTCGAATTGCTGGACCCAGAACAAAATGTCAACTTTTTGGATCACTACTTAGATGTTCCTATTGATCTATCAAAGGTACAGAAAAATTATTTTGTCGTTTTGCTAACGTCTGAATATGATTTTATTTGCATAGACAAATCTTAAGTATGATAATTCCCAAAACAATGATTAAAAGGTTCAGGGAACATTTATTTCAACTAGGGACATTTGACATAAGTATCAAATTACTCGATCAGTGTTTGAACTCAATTTTCGATATTTTGCTTTCATATTCAGCATGGGCATTTAATAAAGATGAAATATTTGCTAGTAAAAGAAACCATTTGCAAAATAAATGTGAATAGTTCATATTAGTTTTAAACCACATGATTTGCTTAGCTGGTAAATTTTGTAATGATTTTTTTTCAGTTTAGCTGTTGTTCTTGTCTGTCTAGCATCTCCAAATATATTTTGTTTTTGCGCAGGTGTTGTTCATTTGCACAGCAAATGTCATTGATACGATTCCAGGGCCGTTAAAGGATCGAATGGAAATGATCCATGTTTCTGGCTACGTAGAAGACGAAAAATTCAACATTGCGCAGGTTGTTATGTGAAAAATTTTTGTATTCATTGGAGCGATCCAAGGTTAAAAACTTTCGATTCTTTTAATGTTTTGAGAAGAGCTGTAGATTTAAACGACAAAGATGTATTGAGACCGGGGTACATGCAAGCACTAACCAAACTACAAAGTGTATTAAATATCACACCTCATGTTGATAAAGGACAAAGGCTGCACTCCCTGCCCCCAATTTTGTACTCTTTTACTCTCGAAGGTTACTCACTATTTATCCTTAGTTGTCGCCCATTTTCGTCCCTAGTTGTCGCCCATTTTGGTCCCTAGTTGTCGCCCATTTTGGTCTCTAGTTGTCGCCCATTTTGGTCCCTAGTTGTCGCCCATTTTGGTCCCTAGTTGTCGCCCATTTTGGTCCCTAGTTGTCGCCCATTTTCGTCCCTAGTTGTCGCCCATTTTGGTCCCTAGTTGTCGCCCATTCTGGTCCCTAGTTGTCGCCCATTTTGGTCCCTAGTTGTCGCCCATTTTGGTCCCTAGTTGTCGCCCATTTTGGTCCCTAGTTGTCGCCCATTTTGGTCCCTAGGTGTCGCCCATTTTGGTCTCTAGTTGTCGCCCATTTTGGTCCTTAGTTGTCGCCCATTTTATCCAATTTTATTTTCAAAGGTATTTAGATTTTTTTTTTTTTATTAGATCATTTTGATATGACGTAATTTCATAAACCCAAGTTTTCAGACAACTGCCTGCTATATAATACTCAGTGATTGGCCCTTATAAAGATCTTATAGATTTATTAAATACCAAGGTGTAGACAGGCTTAACTTACTATGTCTTTGTTTTTAAGAAATACTTGATTCCCGTGGCGCAAGAGCGAGCAGGCTTAAAAGATTCTGATGTCAATATAACTGATGAGGCATTGAAGACGTTGATAAGATCATACTGCAGAGAGAACGGAGTGAGGAACCTGCAAAAGCATATCGAAAAGGCAAGTCCAATCTTTTCTTTATGACGTCAAATATTGTGGTTACCGAACTGTGTACTTTTATGTAAGGCTACTGCACAAGGATCGAAGCATGCGATGTTCTACAAAAGGCTTGCTTTTTGATGAACATTTTCAGTGTGCTTTTAGCTTCCATTGCTATAATTGCTAAAAACTATCGCTGATAATAAGCCGATTGACTGATATATTTATATTTTTTCCTATGTATGAAAGCATGATATCTTGAAATTTTATTAGCTCAGGCCTCTTATATAATGTAAAGCCCACCCAAAATTGAGCAATGCATTACATGTTTACAGGTTTTCAGGAAGACAGCCCTGATGCTCGTTGAACAAGGAGGTGGCGAGATCAAAATTCTCGATAACAATTTAAAGAAATTTGTTGGCAATCCAGTGTTTAATACTGAGAGAATTTATGAAGAAACACCCCCAGGAGTGTCAACTGGTCTTGCCTGGACATCAATGGGTATGCTTGAAAGACGTTTTGCCTCAAAATTTCAAATCTAAATTGCCTCAAGAAATTTTCATTGGTTATGCCACTTGCTGATGCTGCTGTGTTCCTTTTGACCAATATCAGATTAGTGTTATTTGCTTGGTCAAGCCCATGCATCATGGAACATTTTATCCTTCTTTTTGCCAAGCCATCCACTTATTGTTACTCTAACGAAATGGTTTTTGAAAGGGCATTCATTTCCTTCTTCTAGGTGGATCGACTTTGTTTATAGAAACTGCTGTTAAAAAAGTTTCTAAAAAAGGTGTCGATAAAGGAAAAGGTTCCTTGGAGGTTACTGGTCAACTGGGGGATGTTATGAAAGAAAGTTCCCATATAGCTTACACATTCGCAAAAGTAAGAAACCTCGTTATTGTTGTTTGTTATGTTTTTGAGAATGATGCATTCATTCAAAAAGGAATTATCGATTTGAGCTACCAAGAACACTTTTTAACTTAGAATATGGAGAAATCTCGAATTTCCCTTTAATGGATTGTGTTGAATTTTTTTATATTCATCTCTGACAATCAAAAAATGAGATTTTAGTTTTGTTTGCTTGTTTGCTTGTTTGCTTGTTTGCTTGTTTGCTTGTTTGCTTGGTTGCTTGGTTGCTTGGTTGCTTGTTTACGTTGAGCAATGTATTTCTATTACTAGGGCTTCCTTTCTCGAACGGATGCCGAAAATGACTTCTTTGACAATGCTTCAATACACTTACATGTTCCAGAGGTAAGACTTCGTCCTTTATTCCAAATGAAGTATTTAAGTTATCAATGCAAAATAAACCTTCACTTGAGTTCTTGAATTTGTTTACTATGGCTCGGTATCATTAACCCCGATTTGTCTAGTAGTGGCTTGGCTGTGTTTAATATATTCCTGTCAAAGGTAACAAGTACATTGTAAAAGATTCACTACATATATAAAATACTATAGGCTACTATTTGAAAGGATACCCTGGGGAGCTAAAGCATGTGACTACCCCGAGGCAATTAGATGTAAAGATAAAACTGCTAAGTTAGTGTTAAGCCGGATGTCACGAGAAGATGTCCGAGACCGGGTCGATTTGGATGTTTGGTTGTTAAAATTGATACGGTCTGTGCATTTTGTACTGCTACATGTACCCCCTAACGTTGCAGGGAGCCACTCCGAAAGACGGTCCATCAGCCGGTTGTACAATCATAACAGCCTTGCTTTCTCTGGCTTTTGATAGACCGATAAAACAAAACCTTGCTATGACTGGTGAAGTTTCACTCACAGGAAAGGTGAGTCTATAATTGTTCATTGCTAAGCAGGTTTAACTCTACAATTTAACGAAATTTAAAACTTTGCACGATGTGTTAAAATATCATTAACAAAAACGTTGTTAGAAATTTCATCTGGTAGCTGTAACGTCACTGAAGTTGTGTGAGGGTGGCTTGGTTGAGGTCACGGATTATAGATCCATGGGTCTAAGTGTTTGAGTTGTTGCTACAACCAAACTTTTACTTAGTGTGAGGAGAGTCGAAAGCTGCCTTTAGAAGCCAAATAGATGCAAAAATACAAAATACGTCATATCTCCTATGAATAGGACTTTTATCAAGCCTCATTTTTGATGACTGATCGATTTTCAGATTGCGTTTTATTTGTCTTTTGATAGAAAAAATAATGTAAAAATTTGTGCTTTATTATTAGTATTATTATTCTTTTAATTATTATTATCTTAGCAACTCCCTTGCCACTCGAAAAAACCTATCTGAATGGAACATTACCCATTACTCAGTCATCCGATTGCTCTTTTTGCCATATGCCAGAAACGTCGCTTCACATCGTTGCAGGCTGCAAAACATATCTCGAAGAAGGCCGTTACACATGGCGCCATAACTTTGCATTAGGCTTCCTAGCACAGTCTTTTAAAGCTATACCTAATTGCTCTCTTTACGTAAACCTTACAGGTTATCTCTCCCCCTCTATCATAACAGGGGACTCTTTCCGTCCTGATCTACCTCTAGTCACTTCCGACAGTCGCCTATTCATACTCGAGCTTACAGTAGGATACGCATGTTAATGCTAACCGCAAAAGAGAGAAATACTTGCATCTCATTAACCCAGCCTAAGCTCAGCCTATTCTTCTATCATGTTTGTTAATCTTTCTAACAGTTCTCTAGGTACCTTTGGTCTCTCCTGCTCCTCATTCATCGACATGTGCAACGCTCTAGATATCAGCGAGAATCGTCGCCGTTTCATGATCTTCAAACTATCCAACTTAACTATCCGTACTACCTATTACATTTTCTGCTGCAGAAATAAGTCTTGGAATAATCCTGAACTTTTTTAATTCTCTAACGATGTCTGCTACTGACAACTTTTAAAACAAACAATGACGATCACACTTTTCCCATTTTTTTCTTAATTTCTTTTGTTTGTGCTCGTAATAGTCTTTTTCTTTGTAAACCTAGCCAATTGCAGACTACCTTTGTAATAGTGAAATTTCTGATTGTTGTTTTAATTGAATTAAAAATGAAAGGTTTTCAATGTATTTTGTAGGTTTTACCTGTTGGCGGGATCAAAGAGAAGTTAATAGCTGTGAGTAACGAAATTGCATCTTACTTTTGGTAAACAGTACCCTGTCCCAGTTTGCTACAGATCATTCAAACCCCACTGCTAAAGTAAACTTTAATCGATCTAGTAAGGCAGGATTAAAACCATGAAGAGGTTTTCTCCACAGCCTGATTTTTAGAGACACGCGTGCTTTAAAAAAGCCAAAAGTTTAATGAACTTTTTAAAAGCATTTACTATGATAAGAGGAAATATTTCTGCTCACAATTATGCTGATTTTATTCCCAATCTTTTTAGAAGAGCACAACACATTTAACTCTGCTCCAAACGTACTCTTTTTGTTGGGTGCAATGAGCCGCTAACAGCCGTACTGCTCCACTAGTTAGAGTACTTGCTTACATTTCATTTGAAGTTATTGACATAAAACTAAAAATGACAATAAAAATAAGATAATTTTCGATTTATGTTCTTACGTTTTATACTCTGAAGAGTGTCAGACGAAAAGCTTTAGAAACATGTTTCAAAATGTTTGTTTTTTCTAAAGCCATTTTAAAAATGATATATGTAAATATAGCGAAATGGTTGTTTCATAGAAAGGCAGTAGTGCTACATCAAATAATGTTATAAAACAATGATGAAAGAACATTTGGAAATATTCTTCTTGTTTGACATTTTATTCGTCAATTATTCTACCAGAAAGATAACAAACTCTCTTCTGACATTTTCTTTTCACGAAGTTATTCAATATATCAACATATTAGTTTCCCAAATGGTAAACATTTCACTCAAAAATAGCTAGCATAATATATTGTCGGTGTTGATCCATGCATACAGACAAGAGAGCACTCTTTCATTATTTACAAATAACATCTTATTCTATTCTATAGGATTACACAGGCCTGCCCTTTCTATATGCTTAATATCCTTATAGACGAACAAATTTTTTGATCACACAACATTTAAACGCAATGACTCATTAATTATGAACCTTGATAAATTTTTTTCTTTCAGGCAAAACGTGCAAATATATCAACAGTCATTTTACCAGAAGGCAACAGAAAAGATTATGAAGACTTGCAAAGTTTCATAAAACAAAACTTAGAAGTGCATTTTGTTAGTAACTACGATAAGGTATACGAAATAGCACTGAATTATTCGGAAAGCAATGCAGAGCAAGACAACAGCTCATAGAATTTATATATTATTAGCAGCTATTTATTTCTGATTGTATACTTTAAAATATTAAGGCTAGGTATTTTACAATTTTAAATGTTAATCACAAAACCTGCCTATAACCTTCACCGAGTATTAGTAGTATTAGCATTTAGATAATACCCGTGGAGAAGTATGTAATTAATCAAGAAAATAAGATTTGTAGGCGAAATCAACAGAAAACAAGCCCAGTGTTTCTAATTTATCGATAAGCCGAATGTTATATTTTCCAGATTTTTTCTAGATCCGCGAAACCAGTTTTATTTTCAAGGAAGTGAAAGAAATTTGTTTGATTCTTAGTTATTTTCCTTTCCTTTCTTCCAATGCCAAAAATTCCAATTTTCGAAGTAAATTCTCCAAATAATAAGATGAATGCCCCTTCCAACACCCCGCGATTAAGGCTATTCTTCCCTTTCTTCTTTCACTAGATCATTTTGCTTAAAGGGAAACAGTGGATTGGGCTGGGGTGCTACATAAAAAAGCAAACTACAATGATTAGACAAGTGTGGATTATACACAGGTTTTCGTGGTTTTGGTAGTGTTTTACAAGAATCACATCTGCCAATTAGCTGTTTGAAAACTGAGTAAATAGCTGATTTATATTGGTATGAATGAAGATATTATCGAGAGTTTATTACTGGTTGTTGCTCCTCAGTCAAAACAACGTCCTAGGAATTTGGTATCGTTTCTTACTCTGTGAGTCATTTAATTCTAATTGTCAACTCCAATACTTCAGTCAAGTCCTTTGATTGTCCAAATAATACCGAACTATTGTTTTTGTTGTCTTTTGGCTTGAGGAGGGTCGTATTATCAACTTGGGATGAAATACAGAGTTGACAACTGCTTCAATCCTTCCTCAAACCAATAGGCCAATTTTTCGCAACCTTTCTACAAAAGTAAAAGAAAGGGCCTGGTATGGATGCAGTTAGCATAATAACTTTGCTATGAATAATGTCCCGCAGGTTGATTTGTTATCAATAACGTAGATGGTATACAGTTAATCCGTGCTTTATAAATGTATAAATTTCATCTGTATTGGCGAATGCAAGAAGAAAGAAAAGAGTCTGACGTCATCCTTGAGTGATTCCTTCGCAACTTTTATGCCTTCGCAACTTTTGATATCTCTTTTTATCAAAATTTCTTTCCCTGGCTTTTTCTAACAAATTTTAGATAGTTACAGCTACATCAAATTTATTCTTCCCCAACAATTTAACTTAAGGCAGTTCTTTGTCAACATGGCGGATTCTTCTTCTCAATTTTGTGAGTATTGACATTTTTGGGTCTGTCTTAACTGTCGTCGTTTTCTTTGCTTTTTAGCTAGCTTTTTCTTTAAAATATGATTAATGCCTATGAATTTTAATATGGCCAAAAAGCAGTTGTTTGAAAACAGTAAAGATATCTTCTTTCGTCAACACGTATCGACGAAGGAGCTATACTACCCAGAATGCCATTCGCCTTTCGTGTGGTTACAAACATGGCTTCGAAGAAAGTTGTTTTCGTCATAAGCGGCTCACGTGTTATAGTTATTCCAAGAAAATTGATATTTACTATGCGACAAGATCGATTCAGCTGTTAGATAAATAGATTTTAATGTTGAACAATTAACGATCGAAGGTATGTCTTTGTTGGTACTGCCATTTTATAAACGCCAGATGATGTTAGGCCATCTGATCAAGCCCTGTGTTTTTAGGCCATCTTTTTTGTAAATAAATTTTAAAATTACATTGCATGCAAAAACTCGAGAAAAAGAGAATTGGGATTATTTCATACGATGTTGTTCGAGGGTGCTATGCCATGAAGTCACCAACCCAAGTTGCCACTCTCTAAAGTAAAGTGTTTAGTGTAAAGTTTAAAGTGCGTGTTGTAGAGTACTTTTTTAGGCGATCAATAGACGATCAAGTAGCCATGGACTTTTTTTATCGTTTCCTTTAGGCAACAAGAAGAGCTATTTTTAAGTGGAAGTTTAGGAATTATCATCTATCACTTTGTTATCGTATTAGCTTCTTTATCGATTTTTGTCATTCTTCAAATCAGGTGTTTAGGCTTCACTTCCGCATCATATGAATCACCATTTGGCTGTTGGTGCCTTGGTAAAAATCGATCACTAATTTCGTGTGAAGCCCTAGACCTTAGATATAACTTGATTGATTCAAGTAACAAGGCAGCTTATCCCAACCAGGGAGCTGATGCACAATCCTACCTTAGATTCATAAAGTATGAGAGGGGAAGAGCAACACAACTTAAAGAGCCAAGTCTATCCTTAATGAAATCATAATAATCTGTTAATTGAATCCTGTTATGTAAATAAGCCCAAACCCCTATGAGGTAAAATTATAGAGGATTTGAAGTAACACACTTTACTTTAAACCAGAAGGGGGGAGAGGGACAGGAGAAGAGAACAGCCTGACAAGAGCATACATAAAAGGCACAAGAAGCCCTATCCAAAAAACTTACTTTACACTCTTCTGTAGCAACTTTCATCCAAGAAAACCCATCTCCTACTTCACTTTTATTCCCAATGGCATCAAACCAGCAAATTAAGGCTTAACAGCATGTCTCAACACCTAAATTTGATTTATACAATTCAAAGAAAATAAGAACCCTTTTAATGATTTCAAATTCTACAGCATCTCTCATGAAAAAAGCTCTGATAAAATTTCATTTGACCAGCATTTAATTTACAATGAAAGATTGCAGCTCGATGCAAGATGACTTCAAAAACATTATCTCTTTTCCTTTTTTAAGGATATAGACACAGCAATTTTTTAATCATACTTTAGTATGTGAAATTTATTTGGATATGAATGTAAAAGTCAATCAGCCTTTAAATGTAAAGGTCAATATAGTCATTACAAGAAATCTTTGCTCAAATACCCAAAGGCCTCAACAGAATGGTTAAAAGTTTTGATATAAGGTTTTTAAACACAGCACTGAAACTAATAAAAATCAATGCCAGTTTGTGAAGGACTATATAGTAAAATTTTGATAATCTACATGGTACATAAATTCATGTTAACTTGTTTAATGTAGATGTTTAATGTAACTTGATTACAACCTTGTTTAATGTGATGGGAAAACTTTGGAACAGAAACTAGTAGGTAGTTAATTATAATACAGCATTTTTCTAAAAAATATAATTTCTTTCAAGGTTGTAATCTATTTTCAAATTAAGTAAAGTATTTTTAAAAGTTAAACTAAGTAAGAAAACTATAAATAAATAAGACCTTTTTCCAGCTTATCATATGCTGTTTTTACCAAAGTTTTCTTTGTTGCCAGTGATCAAACTGGTCTTTTAATATCAGAGCCTATGTCACCTGTGATTCATTAGAGGGTGAGTGGAGGGAGGGGGCTTATGATGGGCAAGATGGTCCAAGGATTTTGTTGTAGTTATGGTTTTTATACAATTCAAAGGGTTTGGTCCTCAAAATGTTTCTTAGGGCAAGCCTTCAAATCCTCTCCCTTCATCAAACCCTCACTGTTTATATTTTACCTTCACCATTCACCATTTATAGGTCGCTGCCCATTGTTTTTCGTCTTTTGTTTCATTCATCATTTAAATGTTTCTTTGAACCAATGGTCATTTAATAGTTCAATTTTTGGCAGAGCCACATCCAGTTTGGAAAGGCAAAAGTCCCTGACACCCCAAAACGAAACCACAAAAGTTACGCCCTTTCTTCTACTGTTGAATATTTTCAAATCAAGATTAGACAACCTAGACCTGCTCACAAAAAATACTTCTCTAATTTTTTTAAAAGATATCAATATCTAGGCCGAGATTCTTTTTAATAATAAAATTTATTTTCTCATAAGATGCTGACATTAATATGTAGGCATCAGCCCACAGAATACACTTTAAAACTTTTCTTCTGTATGCGGATAATATATCAACTAACTCTTTACTTCGTTTATAGGTATGGCCTTTAATAAAGGGTGTGTCTGTGTGGCCTTTTATTTTGGCCCCTCAATTATGATCTGCTTTATAGGTTGCTTGATGTAGGACACAGCTGCTTATTGTTTTGTGGATTTTGAGGCTATTTGACAATATTCATGCTTATTTAATTTCTCCAAATTCTTGCAAACTAAGCCTTTTATGCGATGCCAACTATCATGATAGCCCAATGCAAAATTTGATTATATTTCTTTTAACTACTGTGACATTACCTTCACTGATGCTATTTTTGCAAGCATTTTGAAGATATCCTCTTAGCAACGATACTACCCTTTGTTAAGAAAACCTCCTCTCTTAGCTCTTTCCACCCAATGTAAATTTTTTGCCAACTTAGTTTTGAAAACGAATTTTTTTTTGCTTTTTAGAACTTTGAAAAAAATGTTAACAATGTAAAAGCCATCTAGGATGCAGATATTTTTATTGAAATGATTTTTTAATTTCAGACTTTCTCGATAACATTCTCCAGATCTCTTTGAATCATAAACAGTTTGTTTGGTTTCTTCGGTCTTTTAGGTCTTGCTTTTAGCTCTGGACTTTGTTCTTTTCAAACAAATTCCAGAAACTTTCATTTTCTTGAACTTTATTGAAATATTTTTTCAACTACTTCCAATGTTATTTTTTGTTAAAATCCTAGGGCTGACAAATTCCTCTTCAAAGCTCAATCAGTATAGCCAGTGGATGCTTTGAACACCTAGAAATTGGATATGAATGGGATCTGGACTAAATCTTCGTAAAAACTTTAATGGCTTTCGCAGGTATGTCGGTTCCCTTTCCTCTTATTCTGAAGTGCAGCCCTTTAATTTTCTTGGGAAAATTTTTATATTCAAATTACCATTATATTTCAAAATATATTTTTTCCTTGAGAATTAAATTCTATTTGTGACTCACTATAAGTTGAATTTGCTGAAAAGTTTCTTACTGTTGTAAACTTTGTCAAAAAATTTATCTAAAAACCTTCTTAATT